ATGAAACAACTCCCCGCCCAGTGGCTGGTGGATGGACAGCTGCACGCGCGCCTACACCTGATGACTTGAGCGTTTGGAACAAGATCGCCAATGTGCCCCAGTTGCAACCCAGTGGAATCCACTGATTTCAGCCTTTCAACTTTGGAAGGGTTTCAGAATTTCAGGTGTCCCCCGGTTCTTGGCCAGCTTTGGAAGGGCTTCCTGTGTGCCCCCTTCTTTTGGGGCTGGTTTCATTCTTTGGCTTTCTAAGTTTGCAGGCGTCTTTCCTTTCCGATTTTCGGTGCGTGGCTGGAGCCGTCTGAGGAGCAGAAGGACTTGGCAATCTACGGGCGCCTTAGACAGCAGCTAACCGATAAACTAGGGGACCCCTTTTTGGATGGTTTTAAAGGGAAACCAAAAGGAAACTACCTATTTGGAAGGTCCCAAAAATTGAGAAACACCCATATACAAGCCCTTGTAAGCGTAGAACCAATAGTCAAATGGGTTTAGCTGCCCATCTGGAAACTTCAGGCTGAGGCATTTGGTGAATGCCAGATGCATGCTGGCCTGCCCGAACTTTGTCACATACGGTGCTGCGGTTTCAGGATCAATGCGATGTTGTGTCTCAAGGTCTGATGCGCTGATGTTTGGGACCATTTTGGGGATGTCAGTAGCCTATGGATTGCATGATCCTAGCCCGATATATGTGTTTTTGTGAACAGCCGAAGCTCACTTTTGAACACTCGTTGCATAATTCGTGTGATTCTTGGGTTTGTTGTTTTAAGAGTTTGTATCTTGTTTCAGCTTGGTTTAAACGGACATCAAGAGTCCTATTTGACATACCATGAGGGCTGCAAGTTGGTTTTCAACATTGATGTCATTTGCGAGTACTCTCGGTGCTTGACAAGCAATGCTGAGCAGCCGCGTACTGGTACTGTTTGATTTGCCATTCATGAATAGCAGCATGGTGTTCCCCCAAAGTGATGGTTTTTTGTTAGAACAGGACACCCCCAACTATTCAACCAGGGTGGATTATGTACTCCGGGGTCAACACTCGAGTTTGGGGACTGATTTGTCCTGAAACAAGCTTCCTGGCCTTTCTCCGTTTTTCAGGCAGCCTTCTCAAGTGGCCACTCAAGTGGTCGCCGGCATCAAGCTGCTTGGCACGCAAAGTGAGCGCACAGACTTCCGGAAATGCGATTTTGGTCCCAAGGACAATGGATTTTGAGCGCAGTGGCGTGCTCGCCTAGCTTCTTTGTTTTTTTTTGGATAGTCCACAGCCGAACACGTGCTGTTTCTTGGATCAGAGCTCTACCACGCCAGGATAGGATATGACAAGGCCTCGGGTGAGAAAGAAGATAGGGCTCTTGACACTCATTGAGTTCGATTTTGCATTTGGAAAATACATGTTGATTGTTCAAGACAGTGAAGGAGCCTACGGCCCAGGTACAATTTCGGGTTCAACAACGGCGACCATGTTTACGTGCTTTCTGTCCCATGGCAGAAGGTGCTGCAGGTGCTCAACGTGGCAAAGGCTGAGCCTTATTGAGGAGAGTCGGAGAGCAGCCATCCGTCGGAGAGGATCCCAGAGTCCCAGAGGCAGAACGGTGTAGGTGAGGCGTTTCTGATTGAATGCTTTCTGTGCAATTGATCACATCCGGTGTCAGAGAGGCACCTTGCAGTGGTATTTTTTTTTATCCCAGGGAAGGATCAGGGGGAGTTGAGCGTTGGACAATCAACAAATTCAATCACGGACGACAATGAATAGAGGCAATTAGATAATTTTAATGGGACAGAGAGGACAACCAGAAATTAGCAGCACGCACATGCAGCAAACAGCACAACACGCAGAAAGCTGATGGTAACAGTGGTAGCTGCAAACGGCAGAGCAAAGAAACTCGAGGGCTGGGAAGATGGGAAGGTGAGAGACACAGCTGAAGGCGCAAGAAGAAGCGAAAGCAAACTCGAAGCAAGCGGGGTAGATGTGCACAGGGGAAAACTGGAGGGAGGGCTGTGGAGGGCAGAGGAAAGCTACAGAGAGAAGTGCAGAAAGCTGTAGAAACAAGGAGAAGGCTGTAAGGGCAACAAAAAGGAAACTGTGGAGAACAATAGCTACAGCTTTGGACAAGAGTAGATGGCTGTGGAGGGCAGCAGAGGACAAGAAAGCAAGTTAGACGAGGCAATAGACGAGGCAATAGAGGGCAGTAGAAGCAGCGATCAACGGCAATACAGGATAGGCCAAGCTGAAGGCAAAGCTGCAAGGAAGCATGCGCAAAGCCGTTGCAATGGAGAAATGCTTTGGTGCCCTGCAGCTTCCTCTATTGCCCTCTAAGATTTTTTTGTTACTTTCTACAGCTTCTCTTTTTGCCTTTTACCGCTGCTTCCATTTTGTAGGGGAACCGGGGGTGATTTTTTTCTTTTTCTTTTCGGTCTTCCAGGTACCGAGCTTGCTGGTGCGATAGATAAGGAATGCCCCTCCAGGTGTTGGGAATGAACCTAGGGATTCCCTTGAAGGAAGCCAGAGAGGATGGTTGAAAATGGTCATTCCCTCATTCCCTGCTGAGAACCAGCAAGCAAGGCTTTGTGGTTAGATCACGTTTGCAGACAGCTTGAGGTCTGATTCCGAAAACTCGATTTACCGTTCGGATGGTCCCAAACCTTATGCGGGGCAGCCCTTACCATCCCTTGTATTTGTTAAGTTCTGTCCTAGGGAAGTTGTTGCAACGGACCTCACCTTCAAGAGTGAAGTGTGTGCGAGACCGGAAAGCAGGACGCCAGCTTCGTCGAGCAGTTGACCGCTGTCAGAGGCAAGTCACTTGGCCAACAACTCTCTTTTGGCAGGTGAACCAATGGCAAGCCAATCCAAAAGGTGCACGACGAAGTAGTGTCTATTGTATCCAAAACACAGACATGCAGGGTTGGCTTCACGAACAGTTGGATAGTAGTTGTTTTCCTGTACTCCTTGGTTGGTGGCTCGGACCTTGTGGATTTGCAATTTGTGTCCTTGAGGGGAAATGGGAACCACTCCTAATCTCCAAACCACCAATCCAAAATACCAATCAGGCAGTTCCTCGATTTCACTTCTTGCCTCCAAAAGTCGCAGTTGCAACACCCAAAAAAAATCCATCTTTTGAAGGAAGGTCTGTGAACTTGCATCTCTTGCTTGCCCAGCTGCAGGCTGGAAATGGCAGAAATCGCGATCGGCTTCGCGACAGAAAAGTCTGATCGTGCCTATGTCGTCGATTCACTTTTTAAGGGCACTGGCCTGGCGTTTGTGTTGGCACCCAATGCAGGTTTGAAGGGCGAGATTGAAACCTGAGAACCCAAGTTTGACACCACTTTGGGGGTTGAGGATTCTATGCGGTGTTCAACTAGAACCAAGATGAACAGCCAACTCTTGGGGTTCTGACGTTGACACACCCAAAGTTCAGAAACGCGGTCATGGGACTTGTCGTTGTCAAAAGCGAGCGCCCTTTTTAGGATTGTGACCCCGCGGGGAGAAAGAGGGCGCTGAGGTTTGAAGCCCGATTTAGCAGGGCTTGTTTGTCCAAAAGTCAGGGGCTTGGAGCCTTCAAACATGACTAAAGGGATGTATTTGTCGATTGTATCTTGGTTGGTTTGACTTTTTCGTCTTGGTCTTTAGCTTGGTTGTTGTATTTGTCAATTTTATCAACAAGGTAATTGTATCTTGAATTTGCTTTGCCAGGGGCAACATGTCTTGCGCCAGGGTCCAACCCTCAAATGTTCATGCCCTTTCCATTCAAATTGCACATGCCGCAGATTCAAGGTCGCGCCCACTTTACGACATGTCTGGGCATGCTCCACACAGACGCACACACACACACACATACACACATACACACAGACACAGACACAGACACAGACACAGACACAGACACGCACACGCACACGCACACGCACACGCACACGCACACGCACACGCACACACACACACACACACACACACACACACACACACACACACACACACACACACACACACACACACACACACACACACACACACACACACACACACACACACACACACACACACACACACGCACACACACACACACACACACACACACACACGCGCACTATGCGCACACGCACACCCGCTGCACGCACACGCACACGCACACGCACACGCACACGCACACGCACACACACACATCACACACACACACACACCCACACACCACACCGTGGAATTATGCCCTCATGATCCACTACTTTACTAGCTTCGAGGCACGTGTTTTCTTAGGTATCAAGCTCGCGCAGTTCACAGCTAGCCGTGAAATCAATCGTTGCATCATTGCTCCGGCAGATGAACTCCTGTTAAGTGATATAGGCCCATAGGCGTTTCCACTAACTTGTTTTACAGGATTTGACCTTTACCGTGTTGGTAGAGCAGAACCGGATACATGCGGTATGCATCATTGCGTTGCTGCGGATCAACTTTATTTCATGCGGGCTGTCCGGGCTTTTAGGCAAATGGCGAGAACAAGTGGGGGTTGGGGTGGAGTTGGGGTTAGGGATGGAGTTGGGGTGTTGAGTTGGGGTTCAGGGGTGGAGTTGAAGTGAGGTGTGTTGGAGAGGATGCAGTTGGGGTTGGGTGTTGTGGGATGGGGGTTGGAGAGTGGAATGGTGGTGGAGTTGTGGTGCAAGTTGAGGGAGGTGGACGGTGCAGTTTGTGGCGGGGTTGGCTTGGGGTTAAGCAGGCTACAGAAGTCATTTGCGGCACTGCGGATCTCTGGAAGCTCTCTCGCCTTTTGACTGGTCAGAGGGCCCAAAACATGCCTCCAGACCTTCAACTGAGCAGGTAAGAATAAGGCTGTTTGAAACACCTGGACCTCTCCCGAAGAGAAAATGAATGGTAGTCTACTGTTGGCCTGGAATTGGGCCCAAGTTGCCTTCAAAGCCCATGGGGTCCCAACTTTCCCATGTCCTCTTGGGGAAACCTCCTAATTTTCCGAGCAAAGTCTGAAGCGCCCTCATGCCCCTTCTCTCGCGCGCTCGGCTCAGCGTCAGACGGAGCGCGGCGACTCGCGACTCGCGACGTGCCCAAAAAGGTGCCCCGGTGCCCGGCGATTGAGCGAAGCTCGCCATGGCGATGACACGGCAGATGTCGAGCGTGGGGGCCACCTTGGCCAACAAGCCCTGGCCTGACGAGCGACTCGAAAGACACATGTGCCACACCCAACAACACCTGGAGGCCTTGTTGAATCTGGACAATAGCTACAACCCACGAGAAGCCAAGAAATCTGGAACCGTCAGATAAATTCATGTGTGAAAGCTGCCACTCGTAGTTTCGCAATTGGCAAGTCTTCTGCCAAGTGGAGCGGCAACTAGTGAAACGCTTCGAGCTGCTACATACACAAATGGGGCGCTTGTTGTATCATTAAGCACGTCCAACCGTAGGGGATTGTAGATTGTATATTGCAATGGCACGCGCAGGCACCAAGCGTCCTGTGGCTCAACATCACCCACCAGGGAATCCAAGTTACTTTTGGGTATCACCTCCCTCTGTTCCGTACGAAGAGATTCTGATGGAAAATTAAGGGATTGTTGATAGGTGTGAAATTATGATTACTTCGTCCAGAGCCATCTCTTGGTCATCACTCCCGTTTATATATTATGTCTTACGTCTATTTATCCTTCCTCTCCGGTCATCCTATGTTTCTTCTGTAAAGTCCCAAATCCAAAAGTCTTGCAACAGATCGGATGAAAGAGGGATGTGATAGGTGTGAAGCAGGTTTGGGGAATACAATGGCGCTGGAATCTTGCACCCATTCATAAGTCACTTCTCATGTTCATAGTTGTAAAGATGGAAAGGGACAGATCAATACCCATATCTTTTTTTTCCAATAAGACCAGAGAGGGACGTAAGCTGCAAAGCCCTTGATTAATATCCGCATTCATTTGATAATCCAACATATATTGATTACTTCGTACTCTCCCTCCCAGCATGTTTCATCCATTAGAACGACTTCACAAACTGAGAACATGCAGAGGCTGCAGGAGAGGCCAGACGGTTGACCCACAGCCCCTTTCCCATTCGTTCATCTTAGTTGGGTCTGTTTCTATGCCTTCCCTTTCGATTTAATCTGTGTTATTGTGTTAACATGTTTTGTTTGCAACTTGAAATCATTGGTGTTGTTCTTTGTTCGGCTTTGTATTTTAAAGGGTCTCCTGCATCATAATTATCATCATCGTCGTCATCATCAACCTTTTTACTTTATGTCTTTCTCATCATCTCATCTATTTCCTTTCTCTAGACCAAGTGATGAGAGATTCTAACTCAATTTCCCCTTGAAGGCTGGTTTTAAACATCACCCTTCACCAATTCAAAGTGAGGCTTTTGGGGCGTGATGCTTTGTGGACAGATTTCGGGGACCCGCTTTGCGGAGGATGGAAATGATTGAGCCCTACGTGACGGGCCTTCTGTGGTTCAACAAGCTGCCAGACCAAAAGGCGACAGTCGAGGCTTTCAAGAAGCATCTCTGGCATTGCTACTTAGCACTCGCAGTGCGGAAGATGTGTTTCTGAAACCGGCCCCGGAAAGGGGATTGACAGGAATCGTAGCTTAACTGTAGCGACCGCGTGTCTCGAACTTGGAGTCTGCATTTTTGGCCCCTGAACACCATCCTAAAAGGGGCCCCTGTTTTGAGAGGGACCGGCATGCTCAGTGGCTGGTGAACATAGATCCCCACCTTTGTCCTTGGCCTGAGGTCATCGGTTCAACTCCTGCATCGAGGGCTCCAAGTGGGTCCAGCGACAAACGGAGATGGACGTTGACTACCACTTCGAACAGGTCGAGCTGAAGGACGAGAAGGCCGGCTGAAAGAACCGACCTCAAACCTACCAGCTGGGGCCAGTTACAAACTCACCTTCACCAGATGGTTTACAATCTCCCTTGTAAAACAGCATCCTTTGAGGAACACTGGTTTTGGGGTACTCTCACAGCAATGTAACCTACGATTGTACCTGCTGGGATCGCTTGCCTACAGTAAGTTTGGTTGGGAACAGCGGCCCCAAGTACCCCTCTTGAAAACTCCCAAAACCAACTTTGGCGACACCAGTCCCAGTGTGAGCCCTGCCTATGGCACCTTTGCAAGAACCCGCAAGAAGGTTCGATCTTTTGGTGGGGCCCCAGATTTTTCTCCGCTCAGGCAGTGGAGGAGTACGCGATTAAGACTCAGCTGACACCTTTGGCCGAGGACCATCCAAGATGGAAGTTCCTTGCCCGAACACTGGGCGCGAAAAAAAGCGGCGAGGAGTTCTTGGTACTTCCGGCGAGGCAAATGGACGGAAGAACCCCCCAAAGAGGATTCCCTAAAAGGAGATTCCTCGAAGCAGTGTGTGTTGTGTTGGTTTCATAGTTTGTTTTTCCAACCCCTAATCGGTTTTTGGAGCCCAATTTACCTAGAGGGTCTACTGCTAGTTTGAGAACACGAGGATAAAAAAACTCGGGCACCCCCCTATTTCCCCATGTCTTCCGGGAATAATGGTATTCAAATCCCAAACCACTTTTTGACCTTCGGTGTGTACCTCTTGCTGTGTAGGGCAACCAACAAATATGCAAAGGGGTTTCGAGCAAAAGTTTCCTTGAATGTTGTTGGTCGGGACAACCCCAAAACTCAGGGGGACGACGGGCCCTAATCTGTTTATGTCTTCTGGGGAAAAGAAGCAAGCTTGTCCGGGGCGTATGTGAGATCAGGCAGTCTACCATTTGCAAGCATGCCCCTGTCAAGAGCATATTCGCATATGGCTGTGGTACCATGTTGGGGTAGGTGCACCACCCATTTTAGTCTATTTTAGGGGAGATTGGGATGTTCACTGGGGGTACGGGATTTTGACCCATGGCCATATGATTCGCATTACGTAGCCTTTGGTTGCAACTATATGTTTAGTTTAGTCGCTTCAGACCCCTCTCTGTGGTGGAACATTGGGCTTTAGGGGCCGTTTCTGTGATACCAAGGGAACCACTGTAAAGTACTCATGGGAATCCATCACTTTGGTATCACAAGGGTTGTTCTCCACTGCCCTCGATTTGCCGGCTCAGGATGTTCTTCCTGAAAACCCCCGCGCCCAACCAGTGCGCCGTCCTTGCGCACCTCCACCACTCTCTGGGTGACGGCCTAGGCGGGAAGGGCATTTGTTTTAACCGAGCTCAACTATTCTGGGGTGAAACGAGGGATTCCACCCATGAAGGTGTTTTGCTGGGGGATTCCTTGTTTCCCTGATCGCGTCATGGCGATTCGCCCAGATGAATGCCTTCCAGTGTCACAATGAGAGTCAAGGAATGTATTCATGATCAGGGTTGTTTCAGCTCATCGTTTGATCCTTACCCCGGATGGTATGGGTTGCCTTCGTGCAGTGGTGTCCCACCTCGAATTGGGATTGGGATTGAGATTGCGAATCCCACCCCATTTGGGACAACCCAGACGATCGCAGACACGATTCAGGGATGAAAGAAATGCGAGATTCGGCCAACTCAATTGTGCACGTGGGTGGGTGCGAGGCTGGGTGGGTGACAAGGCTTCTTCCAAGACAGGTTTGTCTCTATGTTTGTCTCTTTTTGTATGCGTGTATCTGCGCTTGTGTATCAACATGATCTATACGGCTCTATGTGATCTATATGGTTGCTTTACGTTTCTGTCTATTCAGTCAATCCTTGGTCTGTTTGTTCTGCAGTGACCGTCGATGTGTGTTTGTGTGTTTGGCCCGGTATATAGCTTGCGCAGCTCTGTCTGCATCCATGTGTTTTAGTCTGCGTCCCAATCTGGATATTTGAGGTACCAGAACAACCTGCTTTCCATCAATCATGAAAGTAAGCAGGCCGGCAGCTGCCCACGTTTGGAATTAAGCGTGGTCTCAGACATTGTGACTGGGGTCTCCAACATTGCGACTGATATTTGGAAGCAGAATCTGGAACACAAAAAGGGCCCCAGAGGTAGGCCAAGCCGCCCGACAGGCCTCCTGTTTGCCCTCTCGCCGCTCATGGGCGTGGAGGAGGGGTGGGGAGATTTCATTGCGTAGACCAAATTCTCCGATCCCTGATGAGGTATCCGCCAGGTGCCAACTGTTTCTGGATGTTTCTGGGCAGGATCATCGAGTGTGGGTGGACTGGTGGTTGGGTTTTCTGGTTTGTCAACCATTCGTGGCGGCTACATCCATCCCAACTGGTGCGACGTTCTTCTGACTTGCTCTTAGGAGGTTGTTTTGTCACTTTACCCATCAGAACCCAAGTCAAGGGATTGCTGGTCATGTCGACATTCCCTAGCGAGAAACGAGACATTGCTCATCTGTTGGCTCAACTCATCTCGATGCCGGCTGTTTCCTTTAGCAATTGCTGCAACTATCTAGAACTCTTTTCGCGCTGCTTTCTGCTCAGCATTTCGCGGCCACATGTTGCACAGAAATTCGGTGGACTTGCTGCATGCCTTCTACAGAAATCGGGGTTCAACATGTGTGGTCAATCGCCCTTTTGCTTTTTTAGGCTGGCTCCGAATCAATGTTTCTAGTTTCCCCAAGAGGAAACATGGAACTATAAATGAAAGTCACCCACCCACCCCAATGATCATGGTTCCTAGAAAATCCTTATAAGGTCGGCTGCTTGTTCCATATCAGGGGGTTCATGACAATCCCTCCCTTCTTAAGGTAAAGGGGTCCTACTGGTTTCAAGGCCCAGGTTTCGTCGGAGAGCTTTTCCCCGAAGGTGATTAACTAGGCAAGGAGGGAAAGAGAGGGAGAAGGAGAAAGAGAAATAAGAAAGAAAAAGAAAGAAAGAGAGAAGGGCCCCCCTTTGTAGTGGCTGGTGCTGTGGACTAAGGATTAGGATTGGCCACCCCTCCATCTTGAACAGCCCAGAAAAGAAAGATCCTTGGGGCCAATCCAATCATGGCAATCCACGACTTGCTCTCTCAAAAACCATATTTTCCGTCGCCTTTTGCTTTGCAAGCGGCTTCCATTTCTTTCTTTTGGATGGTCAACATGTCACTATTTGGGGCCCAACGGGGAGTTGCGTGTTGATGTTCAAATGGGAAATCTAAGGAACCATGCTGCAAGCTGGTGTCTCCTCCAAACCTAAGTGCTATTTTCAGGTAGACTATAGACCAAACTCCGAGCACATGTTTTTCTGTGCACCCCAGATTCGTGGAAGTAGTCAGGTCGCCCCCGAATGGTTTCAGCTAGTGGTTTGGGGAGTTGAACCTGTGGCTTTGAGGGTAAATGGGAAACCACTTGGTAACCAAACCACCAAGCCAAAGCGCCAAGGAAGCTGAAGTCCTTGAAGCCATCCAAGCCCGGCGAATCGCCAGGGTGGCAACCCGCTGTCCACCGTTCCATTGCCCAGCATAGTGCTGCCTGCCTACGCGCGGAAGCAGAAGGCAGCGAACCCCCAGACGCCAAAGAAGAAAGGTGGCAGCTTGCAGGGACTTTGGAGGGGCTGGGATGTTCTGCGCTCTTTTTATCGTTTTTAAGTACGTCAACGGACGGTCTGCCCTATTTGTGTTTTCAGTGCGGTCTGCTGTGTCTTCCTTGTTGAACATCAACTTTTCGCTGAAGCATGCCAGCCCGAGTCAGCCCGGCTCATCCGAACCCAAAAGGTTCTCAGAAAGTCCTGGGCCACTTCGTTGCCTGTCTCTGTCGTTGTTTTACGGCTGCGGGCTTGCGTGTTGCAATTGGCTTCTTGCCAAGTTGAGTCAGGCTTTCTTCCCAAAAGGAGGTGTGGAAGCAGACCGACTGGCCAAAGGGCACCAAAGCCCCTTGTCAGGTCCCTCCTAAAGTGCCCTTTGATTTATAGGGCCTACAAACCTGCACTTGTGCTGATTATATTCTTGCAGTATCTTTTTCTTTGACAGGTGTCACTACCGGAGTCTATCAGGCTAGACAGAAGTGACTAAGTGACGGGTTACTGTTGTGACCTGTGTTGTGGGCCAAGGGAAGCCAATTTACTTATCGAGTTTATGATTTGTTTACATCTGTTTGCTTCTGGTATACTATGTTGGGGGTTTCTCTCAAGAGGACATTGGTGTTTGCCGAGAAGTCGCAACCAACAACCATGTTCGCAAGTCGTAAAACACCTCGGAAATTTAGCCAAAACCGCGAGACACAGTCGGTGCGTAGAAAGATACGTTTGTTTGTTGTTTACCGACTCGATTTTTTTTGCGGCACCCCCTGCCTTCAGGTGGGAGAAGTTTTAGTGTTTTGGGGAGGGGGGGCTACAGCGTGTAAAAACACTGCACATACATCATCAATGACATCGTATTGAAATCGTAAATGTGGAAAGGAAGAGAATCGTACTGAAACCATGAACAACTAGACTTGAAAAAGCCAGTTATAGTTATAGGCTGACAGTGTAGGTCACAAGGCTACAGCATTGCTTTTAAGACTGCAGTCAATACATCAAAATCTGTCCCATAAGTTGGCTCCCTCCTGTGCAGTAGGCCCATTTGCTTCATGAAATGTTATTTGGAGGCCCTGATGCACAAGTGGACGCTTGTTGGCATCTGGAGCAGAAACAGATGACCAATCTTCAACTTAGTCGACCCGAAGACTTCAAGGCAGACAATCCTTGCGCAAGCCTGGATTCACCACAAAACATTTAAGCGACTATGCACGGTATGCATAGAATCGGAGATCCTTTGGACATTCTGCACATTTCTATCGTTTCTATCCCGTGTTTGATGCAGCCATTTGAATTCATAGCACCAAGTGGCAGTTGGTTTCTACTCCCAAATCACTACCCTATAGGTCTAGTCACCGGAGTTGGTTTGCAGGGAGTGGAGACCAACTTAGATCCAGGCTGGTGCAGCTGCTGCTGCTCAGTCTTTGGCGCCATCCGGAACTTCGTCCGTGGCTTCCTGGTGATGCTACTGTCGGGCCAGGACCCACTGGGAATTTCCGCATTTTCTCCTTGCAAATTCAGGGAAGTCGGTTGCAGACCGGGCAAACGCTTTTTTGGGCCTTCATGTCAAGATGCGCGCCAGAAGCCTTTCCAGATGGCTCCATTTTGTGCTAAAGGATCCTTGGGAGAAATCACCGGCGTAAGACTGGTTCACTTTGGAATGGGGCGGACCCCTGGCGGCCAAAATCTGTATGCCTACAAAGGGTTTGGCAATCTGTGTTGACACGAAACAACCATTCCTTCAAAGGGACGCCAACAGGATTAGTGTGGAGAAAAGTCATTTCAACATGTGTAACCAGGGGTTGGCCGAATCTTGCTGTAATCTGGGGATCTGATGCGCCGAAAGAAGTCACAAGCTAAAGCCTGGACAAATTGCAATGATCACAAGGAAAACAAGCACGCTTTTGCAGACGGTGTCTTGCACGCGCTCTCACTCACACCTGTTGTTCCCGATGTGTACAAGGGAGGGCTTTTCGTACTAAAGTGGCTTTTGTGGCTTTCGAATAAATTCCAATCCAAGGCATGGTCGGCAAGTCCAGAGTTAAGGTGCCTCCTTCGGCTAGTCCGCTTTTGGCTGGCTTTGAGGTATATACGGTGCATTAGTTTGCCTTGAAGTCTTGTGTTTATTAGAGTGGGTGGCGCCGAAATGCGTGAGCTGGGGTCCAAGGTAGAGGGTGGGTGCACGTCCGCGTGTTTCCACTTGGCTTCAACAGAATAGCAGTGGGCTAGGGTGAAGCGAAGGTGCGGGTTTTTTGCCGGTTTCTGGGGGGATTTGGCAGTTGTTGTAAGGAGATTGGCTTCTAGAGGGGAGCCTGGCCGGGTTTAAGGGGATTTTGGCGGTTTCTATCGGGGCTTGACCAGAGTTGGGCTGGCGTTGGGAGTGAATTGAACCAGTTTCTAGCGGGATTTGGCCAGAGTTGGACCGGTCTTTAGGACTGGAGGCAGCTGGATCTGGGATTTTGGCCGCGCAACATCTGGGCGGGGGTGTTCTTTTGGTTGCTCTCTCAGGTGTCTTTGCTTTCTCTCCCTTCAAGCTCTCGCTGTTTGAGGGCCGTGAGATGTGCTGGGAGCATCGTAACCAACAACTATCTCGGCGAATGCAAGATCAGCAGCTTGCACTGGTAACGGCAAAGCCATTGACTGATGGCAAAGCCATTGATTGTATAATTGCTCGTTTTTGCGTTCATTCCCCGTTTGCTGCTCTTAGCCTCAATGGACTACATCGAAAACAAGGACTGGTCATATGGCAGTCCCCATTGGGCTTGCTGGCGAGCGCTGAGGAAGCACAACTGATGCAGGAAACCATCTGAAGAGAGAAAGTCACAACCCAAGGGCAGGGCATTAATTTCCCTTCAGCAGGGGGGGCGATTTTTGTTACCCTTTTGCCAGATTGTTTGACCCTTGGCCGAGTGCCAAGCAAGAGCCCCAATCAAATCAGAAACCCGCAAGCCTATGAACGCTCGTTGTATTCAACCCCCCAGTGTGATGCATGGTGTATGCTTGATTGTTTCAATGTGTGTTGCAGCTTTTGTGGAGACTCTGACAACTCCGTCGCAGATTGGTACCTCCACGGATTCGTCGACACGAGGGTATGTGCCAAAATGCCCATTTGGAAGGGACACGGGGTAAGTTTCATCCACAGAAATCAAGGACGCGCTAAACAATAATTTTGAGACCGTGGCTCACATGACTTGTTTGTACTGCAACATCTTGCCACTATGGTGCATCTAAGATGTCTTCAAAAGCTACCCATGGTGTTCAAAAAACTTGGCGGTTTCCAGCCGGTTTTTGGAGTTTATGGTGTCCCGCATGCAAGTTCGACTCTTAGCAAGTACGCTAACCACATTCCGCAAAAAGCCGTGGTGCTAAATTAGAGGGTTGCCTTGTTATCTTACTTGTTCTCCTACTTGCAATGTATGGTCCACCGAAAGATGTTCCGACAACGGAAAGCGCTTCGCGCTTGGGAGTTGGTGCGCGAAGGGGGGGGGGGGGCGGTCAGGGGGGGGGGGTCGCGCGCGCACGGTGGTTTGCTGTCGAAAAGGCGGCCATATTTTGGCCGCTGTTTAGGCCGCTGCTCAGTCAGCATGTTCGCGCGTTTCCCCTGTAATTTGCAGGTTTTCGTGTCGTCGGGCGCGGGCGTCTCCTGATCAGGGGCTCCTCAAACCGCGGCCAAAACCCAAAAGAATGCCGCTGTTTCACGGTGCCTCGCCCCTTTGGCCGCATTTTGAGATCATGCTGGTGATGCTGGGCATGCTGATGCTGCGTGGTTCGGAAGCGGTCGAGACAGCGGCCATATTTTGGCCGCTGTTTGGGCCGCTGCTCGCTTGGCATTCTCGCACACGGTCGGCTGGTGACCTGCGGCGGAGGCTACGCGAAGGGAATCCCATGAGATGCTGCGCAGTCTGCTTGTCATTTTTGTTTGTGCCATGTGAGCCAGTGCTGTTTTGGGTTGTCGCTTGCGGTAAACAAAAAAGCGGTAAACAAAAAGCAAACCAAAGGCAAACCGAAAGCAAACCAAATGCAAACTCAAGGAATCCAAAGGCAAACCAACGCTAAGCAAAAAGCAAACCAAACGCAAATCTACGGTAAACCGAAGGCGAAAAAGCAAACCAAAGGCAAACCAAAGGCTACCAAAAGAAACCAAAGTCGAACCAAAGGTGCGCCAAAAGCAGGCCAAAAGCAACCCAAGGGCAAGCCAAAGGCAAACCAAAGGTAAACCAAACGCAACCCGAAGGCAAACCAAGAGCAAACCCAAAGCAAACCAAAAGGTAAACCAAAGGCAAACCAAAGACAAATCAAAAGCAAACCACAAGGAAACTGAAAAAATCAAAAGCTGACCAACCCAAAGCAAAGAAAAAAAAACAAAGTCAATCCCAAGGTGAACCAAAAGCCGACCAAAAGCAACCCAAGGGAAAGGAAAACCAAAGGTAAACCAAACGCAAACCGAAGGCAAACCAAAATTCAACCCAAAGCAAACCAAAAGGTGAACCAAAGGCAAACCATAGGCAAATCAAAAGCAAACCTTTGCGAACCAAAAGCAAACAAAAGGCAAACCAACGGCAAGCCAAAGGCAAACCCGAGGTAAGCCTAGGGCGCACCAAGCGCAAACCAAAGGCAAACCAAACGCAAACGAAAGGTAAGCCTAAGATAAACCAAACGCAAACCGAAAGCAAACCAAAGGCAAGAAAAAAACAAACCAACTGCAAGCAAAGGGCAAACCCAAGGCAAACCAAAAGAAGACAAAAGCAACCCAAAGGCAAACCAAGGTAAACCAAAAGCGCACGAAAGGTAAATTAAATGTAAATTATGACTTCGGGAATTTGAATACTAGAGGCAATCCAAAGGCAAACGAACGGCGATTCAAAAGGATACAAACCAAAGGCAAACCATAAGCAACCCAAAGGTTAACCAAGCGCAAACCAAAGGCGAACCAAAGGCAGACCCAAAGCAAACTAACAGGAAAACCAAAATGCAACCAAGGGTGAGCCAAACCAGTTTATATTAGAGGATACTCCCTAGCCCTTTGAATAATTTGCGCCCTTTGTGTCATTTGCGCTTTCCGTTGTTTGCCTGACTGTTTGCAGGATTCCGAGCTCGCCCTCAACGAGCCCTTGACAAAGCGGGCGTCCCGCCTGAAATTCAGTGGCCAGCGGGTCCTCACGCGGCTGCCCAAAGTGTCCCTGGACTTGGTGAAGAAGGCGCGGGAGAATCATCAGTGCACTTTGAAGCTTGGCAGCAAGTTTTTGCTGATGGACAAAAAAGGCTGGCATCTTTCGCACCAGATTGGCAGTGGTCTCTGCAGTATTTTATATGGTGTCGTCCATCCTCCCTGGTGCAGGATTTCCATCCACAGTAAGTCAACCATTTGTTGGTTGAAGCCGGGTGTTTGTTCCCCGCCCAACAGGTTTGAGGTTGTTAGATTTGTAGTGATATCCGACCGAGCTTGTGACAGACAGAGGTGACAAGTAGATGTGGCAAGCGACTGTGATAGAGCTTGTCGCAGACAGCTGAGCTTGCGACAGACAGACTTGACAAGTAGCTGGGATAGAGCTTGTTGCAGACAGCTGTGACAGAGCCTGTGACAGACAGATGTGACAAGAAGCTGTGACAGAGCTTGTCGCAGACAGCTGAGCCTGCGAAAGACAGATATGACAAGTAGCTGTGATAGAGCTTGCCGCAGACAGCTGTGACAGAACCTGTGACAGACAGATGTGACAAGTAGCTTTAGAGCTTGCGCAGACAGCTGTGACAGAGCCTGTAACAGACAGATTCGACGAGTAGCTGTGATAGAGCTTGTCGCAGACAGCTGTGACAGAACCTGTGAGCTGGGCCTGTGACAGAGAGATGTGACAAGTAGCTGTGATAGAGTTTGCTGCAGACAGCTGTGACAGAATCTGTGACAGACAGATGTGAGAAGTAGCTGTGATAGCTTGTCGCAGACAGCTGAGCTTGCGACAGACAGACTTGACAAGTATAGGATACAGCTTGTTGCAGACAGCTGTGACAGAGCTTATGACGGACAGCCATGGCAGCCCAAAGCCTGATGCTCCCGCCAACTGAGAGTCAAAGCCTGTGGCTCCAGTGGCCATAGAGTGCTCTGCCTGCTGCTGCACAGCAGCCAGCAACAGAGTGGGATGTTGAGCACGCTTGCAGCGTGAGAAAAAGCACTAGTATGCCTTAGGCGGACCGTTCGCAGTACAGTATTTGTAGGGTGTGTTAAAAACACCTTTTGGTTGGCAAGGAGGAGCATGTCATCAAGGGCTGGGATTTTCTAAGCCGCGAAGGTAACGATGGACATGTTTTGACAGCTTGAACCCGACTTGGTCTGGGACGTCCTGACAATCTGATCCTTGGATGTATGACTCTGCTCAACGCGACGCCCAGATTACATATGGATAAGCTTCGCGGGCAATGCTGACGAAATCGCGTGCATCCTGCTTTCGTCAAACCCGCTACAGCACTCTGCAGATCACCATTGTTTTTGCTGTTGATGAGATGCATGTGCGGGGAAACATTGCGGACTTGAACTTGATCTGCTTATGTTCAAGCGGGCTCACCTGGGGCGTAAAACGAGCTGACTGCATATGCGGTATTGGTCTACTTTATTTGGGGATTGCGTCTCTCGGGTTTGGGAATTATTGTCAAACTTGTGTCATTTTGCCATTTGTCATTCGCCAACTTCCCAGGAATGACATCGTCATGGCTGGCCTTACCGGAGCCATCCGGCGTTATTGTGAGGAGTGCAAAGACGACAGAATCAACAATCCGCGAGTGGAGCCGCTCGGGCGCTATCCAATGCGCAAATTGTTGATTGAACTCAGATCGTTCTACCTGAACACAAAGCGAAATGGAAGGAACACACAACATACTGTTGAGAGGAATCCTATTTTCGCCCTCCCATTTGGTTCCTTCTCTCAAACGAAATTTCCAGACCTGCACCGATGCCCGGAACACCGCGCTCATAGTTTGCCAACTGAATTAGTCAGCTGATGTGAACTTCAGATTAGTCTTCTTGGGATCGTAGTAATCTGAAGAAAGAACGCGAGCAAGCTGAAGTTGGCACTAAGTGGTAGGACCAACAACAACCCTTACCCCTAGAGACAGCACTCCAAGGGAAGGCCATTACCCACTCCAAATCCAATCCGCTTGATCCCGCTTTTGGTGAGTATCCCAAGGGGGCGATGTTTTGGGTTGGAATAGGTGCCCGGGTTTCGCAGTATGCAAAAGCTCGTTGTGTTGGTCCCTTCTCAGCCGTGCTGGTTGTGACTTGCCGCCCTTCCTTCTGTAGAGTTGCTCGTGCTTGGAATTGATGTCAACCACAGCTGTTTGCCGTTGCTTTCATTGCCTCCTGTTTTGCTTATTGCCCTTTTGGGTTTCCATCATGGTATTTTGTTCAGCGGGAGACATGATAAGATATTTCGCATCGGGTCTCCGTCTGACTCCGATTTTGCGCAAGGGAAATCTCACCGTTTTGCGGCAACCTATTGTTTGACGTGTCTACTCCTGCACATCTTCGACGTGGTGCTGGTCACATACACATGGGTGCTGGGACACATGGTGAGAGAAAAGTTTGTTCTTGCATTAACCACCCTCGTAAGTTTCATGAAAGTCACAAATAAGGGCTGATTAAGGGCTAAATAAGGATGCTGCTCAAACATCAACTACAAACCTGTTGCGCATTAGCTGCAGCCTCTAATTTCCATATGCCCTTCTACTGGACCATTGCATCCTCAGACCGGACAAAACTGGCTGAACAGCCCCAACAAACCCCTTATTTGCTGCCGGCTTGTGTGTTTTGTTGCTTTTCCGGTGCCAAACCGCCTGGTGTGAAAAAAAACACACGCAGCAGGTATGAAAAACCAGGTACCCCCCCCAAAAAAAAAACATAAAATAAATAAGCCCTTTTTAAGTCCTTCTTAAGCCCTGATTTGCCCTACAGAAAAATGTGCGGCAGTCAGATTTGGAGGCTTCTGGGAGGCCAACCGCCACAAACTTGAAGCCATATTTTTCTGAGCGCGGCGGGCCCTGAGGAAGTTTGCTTGGCAAGTAGCTTGAGGAAAGCCAACATGGACTTGAACCTTTTCTTATTTTTTTGGGGGGGGAAATCTGCGGCGGGGGGACGTGGAGCATACATGACAATACTTGATGCAACATGTAGAGCCGCTCGTTGCATACCCTTATGTTGAAGCTGATTGAGATGCGAGAGTTTCCCTCCATGTCCACACAAGTTCGACTGGGTTGACCAGAAGCACATCAGCATGGCACTAGCTGTTTACCTGAACAACGGCTTGCATCCATGGAGTAAGCTTGCTGAGACTGTTACCGAACCAGTGCTTTGTTTGCCGGTTTGGATTTTCTTCCAGGGTGGGGCGCTTCACTCCTCTGCTGGCCCCTTTGGATTCAGTTCCACCTTGGTTTGCGCAGGTGCAAGTCAATGGTGATGCTCGCTCTGCCGCGCGACTGCCCTGCTGAAGATCCCACCGTGGCATTGCAGAACAAGATGCTCTTCTCCAGCGTGAGGCGCAATCCGCAACACGGGGCGAACTCCCCACACCTGGGTTCCCTTCGTTTGCCCTTTTGCTTGGTTTGACATGTCCTTGTTGGGGCCAGTTGACAGTCACTCGAGGCAGAACTATAGGGCACCTGGCTTTGGCCGCCACCGCGCCACGCTTGCGGGAAATAGGGTTTTAGGGACATTTTGTGAGCAGGTTTGTGAAAGATGCACAAGCCATCTAGGCCATAGGTGTTCCCTGAGTTTCAGCTTCAACCAACCAAGAACTATAGGCCTGGGCCCGATCTTTTAGCGGGTTCTCAGATCCACTTTGCCCTTAGGTCCCGGTGGGAAGCCCTTCACACCAAGGTTTGGCTCGGGCAATGGTTAGGGATGGGATGTGTTTGAAGCACAATACATGTGGACGTGTTTGAACTCCATTTCTGGGTAGTCAACTCCAGTTCGGGTTTTTTTCGGCCCTTTTTCTCGAAAATTCTGAGCATTTTGGCTCAGGGAATGACTGAAGATGTCACACCAAGTGACCTAGGTTGGTGCGTGTCGCAGGCTTCCGGTCTCAGAACGCACTCGGGCTGAACGCGTCAAGAAGATGATGGCGCCGCGTCGTGGAAGTTCGGCCCAGCGTCATCCTGAGTTGGCGGCGGGTCAAAAAGAGGTGCCACGAATGGCTTGCCCTGGTAAACGAAAATATGAACTAAAATCTGCGGTCCCCTGGTTGAATTAATTTGACCCACAGCCATTTGTTGATGGTTCATGTCAGACATGGGGGAGACTATTTGTACACACACACACACATACACCTGCGCGCAAAAGAAACACACACACACAAACAGACAGCAGAGGGACTCACTCATTTTGCCATAACTATATGTGGGCAACAGCAAATGTTGACCATGGTTCAAGTGTCCATGGTTCATGTGGGATGGACATGGGGGGAACCGCCGCAACTCCATTCACAAAAACCAGAGACGGAATCCAAACTTTCCCACGTCCTCGAAGGAAACCATGTTTCATTGTTGACGCTGCCTGACATTGACATGTGGGTGTGTGGTTTCTTGGGAACACCGCCTTGGTGCTGGGTGAAGCCCGTGGAAGCCAATAGGTGCTGGTCATGTCGGCAACTAGCAGCCCACAGAGCAAAGCTACTGGTCTTTTGCAATGAAGTAACATCTAGATTAGCAGCGTACATAAATCAAAACAACTCAGAACAGCAAATGACATGTTTGGAAGGGATAGCCTGAAGCAAATTGCAGATGTCCGGAGTGGCGTTTATGTCTGAGGCAGCCTGTGATGACCTGAAGTCTGCAGCCTACATGAGCCTCGGCTGGTAGAATCAAACGACACTTTTTTCCATGTCCCTTTCGACGTGGCCTTCGATTCTTTGGCTGCAAAAAGTCCCAAGTTGCACGAGCCAAAACCTGCATGTCGCATCCCATCTCAGAATTTCTCAGTTTCTCTTTGCAAATTGCATCTGACACACTGAGTGAACGTCTTCTGTCCGATCACTTTGGAGCGCCCGCGTGCCATAGCCAGAGATGAAACCATGGACCGCACCGGAACCGGAATCCCAGAGTCAAACACCGGATTCAATTCGCCCAAGTATGGGCTTCCATGCGATCCGTCATCTCCCGGGTCGAACCCCAGTACCATGGAAGATTCCCAAAACGCACAGGTTTGGCTGGGATCCCGAATGAACCTTTCATTTGCTTAAGAATGTATTGTATTTCCCCCTGTTGGTTTTAAAGGGAATCTGCCACTAACGGAAATGTATATGGGAGCCGTCCGCAACTGCACGTCCTCAATTTATGTATTCGGGTATCTTGTTAGTTGTGCGCGATTGGTAAAGCCTGCATCGCGGAAGGCCGGCGAGTGGGCCGCGATTGGGGTAACATATGCGTGTTTGCTGCATAGGAAGACGTTGCCAAGTTTGCCCCGCTCGCTGTGCGATGGGAGCGCGAAAGGTCAGCGATTGGGGTTTTCAGGAAATGTAATATTGTAACCCAAAGCTTCTGGTGATGCTGGCGGTGTTGAACAGGATGCTGGGGGTGTCAAACACGATGGGGATGTTGACTGTGCTAGCGTAAAGCTGGTGCATTTTGACTGTCGCATCTATATACCGTAAGACACGGTCATCTTAGTGCCCGCCTATCCTAGGAGGAAAAACACGTCCTCCGAAACTAGCCTTTCAGCGCCTAGGATGGGTCTGACCCTTTTCACAAAGATCACCAGCTATGCGCCGAGGGCTTTCGTGCAACTTGGCGGCATGCTAAGCAGATCATGTGGATATTGCCCAACAAACGAGGTGTAAGTGTAGGCTGGGTCTTTCAGGATTTTGGACCGATTCCTTGTTTCCCTTTCGACATGTCCTTCAGGATCCAGCAGAAGTACGGCATTCCGATCGTTTGCATTCCCTGACTCGGATCATTGAAGAGTATGTAGACCAAGCAAGGCGTGCGCGCTCCTGTAGCTGATTGATGTAGGGTTGTTGCACGCGCGCACATCAAAGCCTTTTGATGGCTACTGGCAACGGACACCTCAGTACCGTAAATCACGGGCAACCAAGTTTGAAGCAGAGAAGCACAGGATCTGCTTGCGTGCTACGCCCTTGGCCGGTGCATGACGCGGTGCCATCTACTATTTTGTCCATTGCCTCTGCAGCATCCTTCTTAGGCTTGCAGGTTATCACGCTCGCATTGGCATCACCCTTAATTTGTGCAGGTTGACTGGAACCCCGGTTGATTTTGACCGGAGAGTCCAGTTTAGAGAGGATCCGTATCATTTTTTGGGACATGCGTCTCCTTTGCAACATCCTCCTTGGGGTTGCCGGCATTCACCCTCGGAGGGTCATGAATGCACCGTTTCTGTGCATATATCTACCAGCATGCGGTATCTTGTTTCTTTTCAACCAGGATCACCCACTTGGTGAGCCCCTTTTCATAGGTGAAACATGGTCGGAATACGTTTATCGTGGGCTGTTTTTTGAGGCTCCTTTTCCGGGCTTTTGTTGGGCGCAGGAACAAGAAACTTCGACACATGGCTGTGGGTCAACAATAGGGGTCACCCCAAAATGGAACCCTGGTAAATGGAACCAAATATGATCTTTCACCTGTCCACTTCCTGGCTTGTTGACCATTTTTGACCCACACATGTTCTCATGCATGTTGCTAATTAAACCAGTTTTCCAAAGTTCTTAGGAACACAGCGATGTTCTCACGCATTTTGCTAAACCCATTTTCCTCTGGTTAGGAACAAAGCGGCGGGGGAGACCTGGTCCAAGCACACCTTCCTGGTGACCAACGTCCCGGCCACCTCGGTGCCCATGACGTGGCCCGCCGAGGGCGGCGAAGTGCTGCAGGGCGTGACCCTCGCAGCTCGACGCGCGTCGACTTCGACCCCCCCACGTCTTTGAAGGACCTGTTTTGGTCCAAACGCAACGGAGGTGAAGAGCTAAAATGGAGAAGACAACAAACTGATTTATTTGTTTTTGCTATTCACCCCTTTCGGGTTGGTTTAAATGGGGTTCCTACCATAAACCGTAGATAAAGGCAAGATGAAGTTGCTTTCAAGACCTGCCTAGATGAAGTTCAGGGGACAGTCCCAGATATACATTGGACGGATATCCTGAATCATTGCATGGTTAGGCCTCTTTTCCAGGTTTTGTGAGGTTTGCGCGATTTGAGGTCAATTTGACAGCCGTTGCGGGGGCTGGGAACAACTCTCCTACTGTCTCTAGAGTGAAATGTCAAAAACCGGCCTTTGGGTTTGCGAGCCTTGCCGAAACATGTCGGCTCTTGCTCTCAGCGCCCACCAGCAAAGAGTTATCATATATCTCTTTCCGTGCCAAGCAGCAGCAACGGACATCAACTGAGACGAATACGGTGTTGGGTAGGCAATTTCCTCCTGGTTTTGCTGGTGGATATCGGTTTTGGGACCATTTCCTGACCATTTCCTCTCAGATCGCGTCTTGTGAGTGGCGCCATCTTTTGAAGACGAGAGGCTGCTGCCCGCCGCAAATACTCAGGCCGACCGAATCTTTCTGTATCCAAAAGCGATTGCACGGAGTGAGTAAGCAGAAGCAATCAGGTGCCTCACGATCACGCTTCGCCAACATGTTTCCACTCTGGTTGCCCAACCTGGTTTTGAACGGAAGGCCTGACGCAGCCCAAGACAGCAATGTCATCGCCATTGGGGTCAACAATGTAGCTTTGCAGTGTCTGCTGGCTGCTTGAAAAGACAGCACTCTTTGGTGAAGAGCACATATATTGCCATCAGAACACTGTTGGAGATGTTGAGATGATGTGGGTATTTGTCAAAACAGAAACAGGGGTACCGGCAATGACGGTTTTCCTTTCGGTTTCTCTTGCAACCATCCTGAAAAAGGATACCAAGACCCAAATACCAACACCTAGCCACCTATTTGACATGGCATTGGCTTCCGAAAAGCCGAACGCTCTCGCCAGGTGATTGCGAACGTCATGTCGCAGGTGTCGGTGCTCTCTTACAACGGATCCCTTTATGCCAGCCTGGTGGCGGACCCGGCGGTGATTCAAAAGGCGCGAGAGCTCGCGGCGCAAAGACTCCTCGACTTCCCCGGCTTTATGTCCACTAGGTTTTACAGGGAATAAACAAAAAAACTGTTTTTCTAGACTGTCAGCTGCCCCAACTGTGGATTCTACTTGCATTCTCAAAAGGCACTTTCCAGTGCTAAATCAACAGGTGGGATATCAGTCAGACACATTGTTTAGTGGATTCCACCATTCAAGTCTATTGCTGGGTGGGTTCCCCAGCCCCACCCAGGGACCCTTTCTGGTAAGCCCCGTTTTTGCGTGACACTGAGCGGACACCTTCAAACCCTTCAAACCAGAGGCTCTCTTTTTGCTGGTTTTTTTTTTTTGCGGGAGGAGCACGTTTGGGAATTGGTTGGCCTCTCACTGCCCTTACATGATCAATCGTGTTGCCGGCTTGCTTCGAGCGAGGCTTACCCCAAGTACAGCCATCCAACCGATTTGGCTCCCTTTCTTCGGGACTCCCCAAGCGGCCGCGCTCCATTCCCAGCTTGCACGGTCGCGACGGACGCGCGCGCGACGGACGCGCGGACGGGCGGCTAGGCGGCGGCCTTCGGACAGCTCTGGCAGGAGGAGATGGAGGCCTTGGCGGATCCCTCGAAGCGCCTGGGGCGACGGCCTCGTTTTGGGCCGCGAGGGGAGTTTCCACGGAAGGTTCCGCCCACTGCGGGACGTGTGTTTGGAGGTTCACAAAAAAGAAATCGGAGGGAGGTGGCGGTCGTCTTTTCAGGGGCAAAATGCGTTTTTGATTGTTTTTTTTCATTATTATTTTTGGGAGGGGGAACCGGAACCTTTTTTTTACTGGATTGGTTGGTTGGTTGGTTGGTGGGTCGGTCTGTCGGTCGGTTGGTCGGTTGGTCGGCTGGGCGGCCGCATCTTACTTGGTGTCAGGGCTGCGTATTAATCGGCCGCATCCCAGCATCGCCGGCCGCGCTCGGACTAGGGCTGCCTATGGGCTTTGATTTGGTGGCAGTTCGGAGTTGCTCAGGGCTGGTGTCGGGCGAGTGTTGGGCTTGCTGAGGTCTTATATAATGAGGGCGTCTCTTGGGTTTGTTTGGGGTTCATTTAGGTTTGGTAAAGAGCTGATATCCAGGATGCTGTTGGGAGGGTTTAAGGCTGACTTTGAGTCGGTTTGGGTTGGCTTGGAGCTGATTTGCGCGAGGTGGCGGCTCGTTTTTGCAGTAGCCTGTTGGCTGCTTTAGGGATGTGGCTGCGCAAGTTTTGGGCTGGTTTGGGATTGGTTGAAAAACGTGCCGCACACCTCGCGCAAATCAGCTCGAAGCCAACCCAAACCGACTCAAAGTCAACCTTAAACCCTCCCAACAGCATCCTGGATGTCAGCTCTTTACCAAACCTAAATGAACCCCAAGACCCGCCCTCATTACAAAAGACCTCAGCAAGCCCGACACCAGCCCTGAGCAACTCCGAACTGTCCGAACGAGGCCAGTGATGCTGGGCATGCGGCATGCGACCAACCCGATCCCCAACCTGGCCAACTTGGCCCCCATACCGCCAGTTGCCCCCAACCTGAGAGCGAAGCAAAGTTTCCAGCCAACCTCTTTAGAGCAACATGAGGGATGCCTTGTGGGCTGGTAAAAAAGGCCGCTCATCCGGGGGAAACCAAAGGGGAAGCAGCGAAATAGGGGCCTACATCTCTTTGTGCTAAGACGGACTGTTGTTTTGTTGAGACCGGGGCGGGGTTAAAGGGGAAGCAGCGAAAATAGGGATCTACATTCCTTTGTGTTAAGACAAAGTTTTGCTGTGGAACTGCGAGTTCAGTGATTGAACTTGAAATTGAATAGGAATCATTTTCCAACTAGGGCTTTAATTGAAACTTAAATGTAATCTGGAGCTGGCTTAGGGTCTAGGGTTTAGATAGAACTCTTCGAAGTTGAATTAGGTTTTGCATAGCACGTCCTTTGCGAGAAGGGTTTAAAATATAATGTGATTATCAGTTTTAACGGAATCTAGTTAGGAAAGACAAGCTGGTCGCTTCTCGTAATCATTTTGATTAGAACTATTGTATTGTATTGGAACCTCTTAAGGAAAGACAAGTTGGTTGTTTCTTCTGCTTAATTCAATTTGAATTCGCAATGTTGAGTTATGCTTCGGTTGGGAATTTGTGTCCAATCAGGGTTTTGACCAGAAAGTAATTTGGATTTTCAATGGAACCTAGCAAGGCTGTTTCTAAAAAAAGCCTTGCCCCTTAAAAGCAGTGAGCACCCAACATAAATTCCAGGAGAATGCAATTTCAGTTTTATTAGCGTAGATGTTTTCAATTGCAAAGCTTTAAGTTTAAGTTGGGTGTTGATAATTAAAATGGAAGTGCTACTTTGACATTGATGGCACAAACGTCCTTTCCAAGTAGGATGTGAAAAGGCAGAGGAACGGCCCCCTTTGTATCGCCAGAAAGCACTGCCATGAGCCTGGCCTGATTCTGAGGAACACGGAGGCTGCAGCCAGATCCGGGGACGATTCCCCCTCGGCTGCCCTTTTGCGGCCTGGCAATGTAGCGTCCACCAGCGGGACTGTCCTTCCTGGTTATTTGAAAAGCGAGTCGCCGAGGCAATGAGCTGATCGAGCACTGTCGCTCGCATGGATTCGAGACCTCTCGAAGATCTCGGGGCTGGCTGCATTTCTTGTTCTGAAAGGTACAGCAAAGGTACAGCGATGCCCATTTTTAGGACCGACTTTGAAAAGCCCGGCGCCTGGCGACGTTGCACTTTCTCAACTGGCGCGCCTGGAAAGGGTGCACCGGAGTTTCAGACTGGACGACTCAGTTTGCGGTCTTCACTGGTCGAGGATCAACTTCCGAGACCTCTCTCTGTCTAGAGGGCAAAACCAGGGGAGTCGGTGCGCAAGTGGCGTCACGCAAAGGCTTGCTCTTCTAGCCTATGAACTCAGAAACCCGGGCCACAGAATGTTCACAGATTTCTCATCGGGCTCTCAGAAAATGTTTGGCATTTCTGAGGAGCAGAGTTCAGTTACTGAAGCCGCACCGGCTTCATCCTGTTGGTCCCTGCACTAAGAGTCCCGAGCACACCTGTGATCTTAGGACAACCATGTTCACCTTGATTCCAAGGGAAAGCCAAAGGAAAGCCACCTTTGGGTCCAAATCCCTCCTTCTACCAAATCCATCACTTCAGATCGGGCCTGGATCACGGTGAAGCCGTCCATGTTAACTTTTCACATGATATGCGCCTCTTTTTGCAAAGCTCGTAAGGAAAAAGGTGCCTGCTGGGGGTGGTCAAAAATATGCCTTTTTGGACCCTGGTGCTGCCTTCTACCGCCCTTTTCACGGGGATACCCAAAAGTGCCCCTAATTTTGACAGCCTGTCCTCAACACAGCAAAGCCGATGCGCCATGGGTTTTTCTGTTGAACACCGGCGTCACAAGTCAATCGTGGATTTCCCCAACGGCTTGGCGGTCAGAACCAATGGTACCATTTTGGGGGTTTCGGTGCACCACCCATTTTAGAACCCATGTTCGTGGGGATTTGCATTTGGGGATGTTAGTGGGGATGTTAGTGCACCGCCCATGTTAGTGGGGATGTCCACTGGTGGCTAACCGATTTGGATTTTGACCCAGGGCCATTTAAGAATCTCCGCTTTGTGCGACTTGCCATCGCTTGGGTGCCGCCGGCTGGAGGCGAGCAGAAGCTGCAGGCCGAAGCTTCGGCACGGATTCGACCCCGATTCGTCTCTTGTGTTTTTTGTGTCTTGAGAAGAAGAAGGCCCTTCATGAAGGAGATCCGGGATTTTCATCATTTCAGGTTGCTTTGCTTAACAAATGCACAGAACGTAGGGACCCCGACGCTTGCTTCTACTGCATTTGATTTTGGAATAGTCGTTGTTTCAGTCCGCGCTCTTTAGATAACATTCAGATTGACAATGGAGCCGCTTGTACACGTGAGGAAAAGTCTGATTTGTGACAGTAGGTATGTGTCACACTAAAGCTGCCCCAAAATGGGTGGGTTCTTTTGATTTCCGTGAAACACCAGCCTGCTTTTTCAGAGGTTCCCCCAAATCAACACCCTCGCGCTTGGTGTACTGTTAGAGTTTAGTCCAGTCATGAATACAAGGGGCTAAATACATATTATGATCTTATCACGACTTGGTTTGAAAGTACGCGACAACCTCCCTTCGCGACAGCGTCGCTTTCTGCACATATATGAACAACGCAGCAAGCCCGGCGAGCAAGCAGCTCATGTTGTTTTGCAGTACTGTGAAAACCAATCAGATCAAAGTATTAGCCAAGTGTGCACAGTGCTAGTTCTTGTTGGCATAGCGCTCTCAAGACATGTGTTTCTGTGACTGCCCTGAACAGATTTAATTTAACAGAGTTCTTGAGTAGTGAGTAGTATCGGGCCAAAGGAGAGTGACAAAATCGGGCGTGTGCAGCAACTGGTTGCATGGAAACTGCTTGTACCCAAGTTTTGACGGTGGGCTGGAGAGCGAGTGTGAGAAGAGCAGGGGCTGGCCTAATTACCGTTCTTTGCTCGAATTCATTCCAAACCCCAGGGTAGGCTCATTTGGACCAGAAGTGAGGCAGCGTGCGCTTGGCGTGAAGTTCGCACGAAGGTACAGAGAGTAACCTTGCCACATGAAGCCCTGGGCAGCTGTCAGCAGCGAGCTCGTTTTCAAAGAGAACTGGGTTAGCTGTCGGACAAGCTGCTAGAAGCGACATGAGGTCCAGCGTAACCTTCATGCTTGCGTCTTCCTTTCGTTCGGCACGCGTGGTATTCAAGCACAGAAGCATAGGCGTAAGCATTCGCGAAGTTACGTTCACGGCATTGCCTTCCGCACAAAACTTGATTCAGCTGGGGCAGGAATTGTTGCCAACCAATTTCGCCCAGTGCAGGTAAAGCTGCGAGCACGGCGGCCAAGTGGAGGTAGCTGCTTTGCCACGTCATGTTGAGGCAATGCTTTTCAGTCATGACCTGGGAGTGTGGCACTGTGCGGATTGGATGAATTTGCCATCCCAATCTCTTGCGTCAGAGAGTGGCTATTATTTAAGCAAGCACTAGACATGGCTCATTCCATAGGGTATGTGTCGAAATAGGGGACCCCCAAGATGCTGAACTTCCTTTTGGTTTTCCTTCATACCCAAAAAAGGGTACCCTGAACACACAAGTACACACACATTATGAGCAATTCTACATGGCAACGAGTGGGCATCGTTCTTTTCTCTAGCACATCGCTGAGGAGTTGGCGGTCGCTTCCGCCTCTTTGCTACCTGAGCTACTCGCCGCAGATTTAGACATGGCATATGTTCGAACGTTTCCACTGTGCTCGTTGGTTCTTCATTGTGGCGGAATCAAACAGTTCGAACCGAACTTGCCCTGGGAAATCGGAAGCCTGACCTTTGCACTTTTCAAGCTGCACCGGGCAACCTGAATTGCAGCCAGGTGTTCGCCGCAGTATACAGAGGAGCAGTGCGGAGGTTCGCTGATCGCTTTTCGGATTTGCTGATTGGTGTGTGATGTACTGCTCTTGATGCGTTCAAAATGGAACTTGCCACAGTTTTGGCAACTTTCAGAGTGTCCCAGGCGTGCGGCAGCCGATTGAAACGTGCGTTGCGCAGGACTCAACTCTTCCTTTGCCGGGAATTGAGCAGATGGCCACTCGCTTGAAGGACTTGCTCGACTGACTCGCGGCTTCTTGCTAGCTCTGGGCCACAAGGGCATTTCTTGTTTGCAAGACCCGTGATTTTGTTCTGTGAGGCTCGTCGCATGTTTAAGGTTCGAGCATGTATAAAAATGGAATCACCCAACCCTTCCCTTTCAAGGCTTGTTGTCTTATGGCCTCAAAGGAAAGCTGGAGCTTCTTCTTTTTTTTGGGGGGGGGTCGAAATCCGTACAGAGACATGACCCTTTCCTGGATTCGAAAGAAGCTCTCGGGCTCGGTCTTGGGAGTGGGGACCTTCGAGGGGCTCGCTCGGAACCCCAAACTTCCGTCCTCCTAATTGTCCCTCCCCCCCCCCAAAAAAAAAAGGAGCAAGAAACACAAACAAATACAAATGACAACACAAAAATAAGAAGCAATTGAATAAGACCAAAGAAACACTTTTTATGTTATTAGGGCTCCCCTGTTCGTTCCTCTTTGGTCTTTTTCAGTTCTCTTCCGTCCCCCAGTAGGCTCCACCCTCCCCAATAAGCCACTACTTGGGGTCAGCAGGAGAAATCACTAGTTTAATATTGGCATTTTCTGATCGCGTTTTGTCGATTTGGGATTTTGGACACCAATTTGTATTAGGGGGACCTAGGGGACCACTATTGAGGGAAGCCACTATGCCCTGCAAGAAACAAATGCAAGATCCATTTGCCCTTGTGCCCTTGCAATATGGGCATGGATTGTTTTATGGGAAACCATGTCCACCAACCACTTAGGTGGTTCCAACTCTGAAAGTGCAGAGCCATAGTTGAGCTTGTTTTGAAATAGGAGAACCACCAAAAAAGGTTTAGTTTCCCTTTGGTGTCTGTTTAAACCAACCCAAAAAGGGTACCCTCAACCATACTGTGGACGGACAGAATCCACTGCGCCAGGTGGTAGGTGGTTTACCCCTATATAGGGTTTTATCCATCTCAATGTGCCATGCAAATTGGTGCCCATGGAAGGTATTCTGGGCATCCGCCGGATTTTGGCGGGCGACTCCAGGACTTGGAAACACGCTTGAGCTGCCGCAACTCCCGAGAAGCGGTGCGTGGAGCCTCCTTGTGCGGGGCTCATGTGATCCAATTGTCCGACTTGCTGTAAGTGTGTGTGTGGGTGTGTGTTTGACTTGGTACCCTCTTTGAACACCCTTCCAGGCCCTTCCATTTTGCAGACTCCCCCTATTTTGCAACACACTCATTTAAGATTGTGTGAAAGCGAGGGGGGGTACCCACAAGTCCGCGCTTCCCGAGCAAATACATTCAAAACATCCGCGGGGCCTACGGCTAGAAACCTGGTTTGGTGTCCTTTGGTTGCTCCCTAACTTGCGCTGACCCTGTGGAGACAATTTTCGGGTCAGTTCAGGAATATGGCGCAAAATGTGTGGCTGACAGTCAAGCCAGCGACAGAACGCCGTGGTTGAGATAAGCCAAACATAGGTTGCTATTGCGGACCACTAGTGATGTTACAGATTGTTGTTGGCTTTTATCCTATCCCGTTGCCAACAACGTGTTACAGCAATATCTTTCTAGCAGTATCAGCAACCCGCTTCCACTTGTAATTCAATACCCCCCTCCCACTTCAGAATAATATGTATAATATATATATATATATAAAGACGTGTGTACACACATATGTGTATATATGTATATATGATATTCACGGTGAAACAACTGTATTTGGATTGCGGGATGTGCCAAGGGGGTTCCGCTTTGGTCTTTGTCCCAAGTTCCCGTCTTCCCTGATGGAACCATTTCGTAAGACTGGCTTCTGGTGGAGAATCATTATTGCAACTGGTCAGCTGCACTGGCAACACTGTCTCCTTTTGGCTACTTGCGACAATCATAGATGTGTGGAGAATCTCGCCATTGAGATATTCATAATCCAATGTGCTGACATGCCACCTTCGAATGTGCCATGGCACTTGATGCATGGAGCTGCAAGCTTCATGGAGCCTCCATGGTTTTGATTCACTCGGGTTATTTGGGGCCACGTGCGATTCAGCGACTTTCTTACGGCATGTCTAGGCTTCTCCCACTGGTCCATCCGGTCATCCCAGCCCCGAGGCAGTTGCGCCTGCAGGCCGCCGCCTGGCGTTTGGAGCTGGGGCGCCAAAAAGCCTCGAGCGCCTTTTACAGGGCGCGCGCGCGCGCCGCACCGTGCGGCAAGGGTTGATCCATGGCTTTGCTAGTTTTTGGGCTCCATGACTTTCAGGTCTAAGCGCTCTTCTGAGACTGCTGCGCGTTCATCACGCCTAGCTAGTTGGACACTTGTGCCAATGCTCACACCACACCAGCACTTTGACAGCAGCAAGCGGACACGATTGCGGAAGCAAATAAGCAATATTGCGCAGCACATTGCACAATGTGCGCTCCAGCGCGGAACAGGCGGAGCTTCTGATTGAATGGATCAGCAGCCGGCTGCCGCTGGTAAGTTTGCTGTAAATGGTAGCGGAGACGGCGGAATCTCAGAGTTTCTCAGCGGAAAGGCGCAGCCGAATGGCGGCTGCTCGTCGGAACACTCCAGGTTTGGAAGAAATCAGCCGGTATCAATGTACCAGTCGCAAGCCGGAGCCAGCATCCGGGAATAGCCAAATGGTTCTAAGGTGTTGTCCACCTTTCTCGCGGTTATGCTCCAATGAAGTTATATTGACTGTGAATTCAACGGCAAAGGCCCTGGACCCCATGTAAATGCACCACAGGGACCCCAACTTAAATTCATCCTCAAATTGCGGTATTTGGGATGAGTAAGTGGAATCTTCAGCTCTAGGCTACAGCTGCTGCAGAAAGAGAAGGCACTGAGCCTCAGCGCAGGATTTTGCAGAGGGTTCGAGCGATGAGGTTTGGTCAAAAAATCCCGAATTATCCTGGTTTGGGTGGAGGAGCTCTAGATTTCAACCCCAAACAAGAGGCGAGCCCGAATTCTACCATGTCCTCTTGGGGAAACCTTCGTTATTTGGCCTCAGAACCCCTCGTGTTTTGTGGGAATCCCGTTGTGAATTGTCCCATGATGGAAAGCGCATGAACAATGTGGCTCACGTGGTCAGGTGGCTTGCTGGGGCCCCACAGAAATTGGGGGGTTGATCAGACGTCCCGTTGCATGGGATCAAAGCAGAAATCTATCCCACATGGGCAAAGTGGCACATGGTCAATTTCGGGGCCATTGATTAACCCTGTTACTTTCGTGAAAAGCTGAGCACCATGTTCGTCAAGACGCCCTAAGGCTTAAGGCCCCAGCATAGGCTGCGCTTCCGCTCGCATTGCGAGTCGGGGTGCTTTGTCAAAGCCAGTAGGAACAACACTCTATACACCGCTGCATTGACATGAAGCCCAAAAAGGGGGGGTAACTGGGAACCCGGAGATTCCTCTAGAAATCGTGGCCTTGGGTCCATACCAATGTGAGGAGCCCAGGCATGACTTGCCGAGTGGGTCACTCAGCGCAATGAGCGGAGTCGATGGAAGTGGTCCCCCCTATTTGTACACTTAAGGCATGGTTCGGTCAAAATGTTCAGTAGTCTATGGTTTTCTTGGGAGGGACATGGGGGCCTCACTAAAGTTCCCTGCAAACAACAATTTGTCCCATATCCTGTAGGGGAAACTCTCGTAATTTTAACCATATCACAGATTGGCAGATTAGGTTGACATGTTCTTACCAGTTGCGAGACACCTCACCGCACCGAGGCCACCTGCCAAAGATGCAGCCGCAAAGCAAAAAGCGAGCCAATGTGCGCCAACCCACAAATGCTTGCCTTATAATGACCTCCCACCAAATAACGTGAAACCTGACAGAGGGGGCCCGTTAAAAGGAAAATTGTCTTCTAGGGGGGCCCTCTGTCAGGTTCCATGTTAATTGGTGGGAGGGTGGTTCTTCCAAATGCAGCGTTCGAGGTGTTCAGACCTTTGCTGTCTAAGTTCAAACACCTGCACCTCAGGACAACGCACATGTTGTTCATGCTGCGGTGCTAGTCCCTCCAGCGCCTTACTTCCTCAGTTCCTTTTTTCGCGGTGGGGGGGGGGGGGATAGGCATTCCAGCGGCAAACACAGTTTGGACTTGGCTCGTGACATGCCGCCGCTGCATGATTCGCTGCTCAGTCCCAGCTGCTAACAAGCACGGGCGAGCTCGGATCGTTTCTTCCGCACAGACGCGACTTTCCACCCTTTGCGCAACATGTACACAAGCTGGGTTCAGATAGGACATGGCAAAGCACAATGCTTCTATACTGTACCATGCAGACAGTTTGTGCGAGTTTTCACAAGCTCTGTTTGACAGCAACATCGCATCAACTCTGCACAAGTGGCAAGGAAGCGCTTGTCTTTGGCATGCCGCTTGAATCCCCAAACTTGCATGTGCCGAACAGCTTCCTGGCTGCACCCAGTCGAAGCAAGTGTCCGAGCATGCTTTGCGGCCTTTTGTGTGCATTTGTGTTGTTGTCCGAGACGCATGTGGGTGTGTCTTTTGCGAGGGTACCGTTTTCAGCTTGGTTCAAACTCACTTGTTCACCTTTGGGTCTATTTTTGTCAAGGTTCCAAAAGTTAACCTTATATTGTCAGGCCCTTTGGGCAAGTGAGAGCAACACTCACCACGTTGGTCCAAAGCCTATTTATTGCTGTTTTCAGCCTGGCTTAGAGGCCTCTGGGAATTCCCGCGATTTTCTGGGGCGCATTTGCCTTTTTTTTTGGCACTCGTCTTAGGCGAGAGCCGAAACAGCTCTCCGGCGAAATCTCGGACCTCTTCCGAGGGAAGGAGTCCGCGCTCCTTCTCCGTGGATGCACCGGTGGTGCCACACGGCAGGAGTCAGCGAGTTTTGGCTTACCGCAGCGTAAGGGATCTCTCTTGAAATGGTTTGACCATTGAAGATTGCCCAGTGCTTCCAGCTATAAGCGGGTAAGCAGGTAGGGCTACCTGGTTTTACTTCATGGTTTCCCCTGGTTACCTAGTAAAGTGGTATCTGGACGCATTGGGCGAAGGAAAGCCTCGGGTAGGTGAGGGACCCAGTTTTCGAGTGGTGCGGTGTTGATGTGTGTTTTCACGGGGGTTCCTTCAAGAGCAACCAACAGATGCGTGCCCGTTTTTTTCCCATGGCCTCTGGTCCCGGGAAAAAGAAGGAGTGCAACAAGCGGGGAATGGATTTGGCTGTTCAAAATGGGGCTTGTGAGAGGACCTGCATTTTGAGAAACGGGTCGACTGGGTTGTTAAGTCCATCCGCAAGATCCTTCTGCCAGGTGATACTCGCTTCCCTGATTTTTCTTTTGTTGTAGTGGTGTCCCACTCACTATGGGTTGCGAATTCGTATTCGGCCCCCGCTCCCCCATTTTAAAAAATACCGGAAGGCACTGAGAAGGGTGAAATCAGAATCCAGTCCGTGCCCTGTGCATTTTGACCCGAATCGGTTCATCCCAGGCCAGTAGCACAATGGCGGAGCCACAAGCTCGAGCCCATCATTTTGCAGCCCAAGACGCCGCGGCCAGCAAGCGCGGGGCGCGGTGAAGGCAAGCACTTGGATGTGGGCATGGGTCGACATAGGGACTTCTTTCAAAGAGCTGTTCAAACGTTGTTAAAAACCCAATGGTGGAAAAAGGCAACTCGATCCCTACTTTTGGTGAAGGCACGATTTCCTACGTATGCTGCCCCTTTGTTCGTTGAACATATTTCTTGTTTTGGGCCAGTGTGAGGTGATTTCCCTTTATGTGGGGTAACGTTTGGGGTGAAAAATATGGGGAACCCGGCAAGGGGTACTGGAAGACCGTTTTTTTGCTACCAAACTTCTTACCATGGCAGGTGGCAATGCGAGGGTACCTGAGCCACTGCGAGGCGAACAAAGGCAGGGGTGCGCAAAATTCGAGCTTTTCTGCGAAAAGACCAAAACTCGGGTTTGCATTAATATGGCGTGTCTTTTTTTGGTACCCACAAATGGTTGGTTTTCCTCTTGGGTTCCCTTCAGAACCACCAACAAAATCCACACCCATATGGCTCATTGCAGCATGATTTATATATGGCTTGTCTTGGGATCTAAAAGCCTGTAAAGATGCCCATAGAACACTTACTTCTTTGGTTTATCTTGGCCAAATTGGGTTCTACTCGTGTGCTGAACGATTTTATCAAATGGGAGCTATAACTTTTGTTTGATATGTTGTTTTTGGTGGGGAGGGGGCTCCACCTGGAAGGCAAGCCTTCCGGGGCGCTGAAGACCAGCGCCCCAGCGGTGGACCCCGACCCCGCGGCGCCCGCAGCCCGGGCCGCGGCCGCGATGGTCGGGCCCAGGTTCCGCCAGGCCCTCCAGGCCCTCCGGGGGTGCGGCAAGGAGTCCAGGGAGGACACGCGCAAGGCGCATTTGGAGCGCGACCTGAGCCCAGACCTGGGCAGTCGCCGTCCCAGGCGCGCAGCGCCTCGGGCGCGCGGACCTCCAGCCCCGGCAGCCCCGGCAGCCGAACCACCCGAAGCCGCCGGGCGGCTTCCACCCGCAGAGACGGCAGCCAGGCGGCCTCCAAAGCGGATGGCGCTTACCAGGCGGCACCTCCCAAGAATCGCATCGCCAAATACGGCGGCGTCACTTGTCTCAAATTGTGCAAACTTATTTTCACGGTTGAGTTGGTCTTGGCTCGCAGCCATGTTGGGCTAGTAGCCATGTGGGCCATGTGGGCCAGTTCAAAGTTGTATGGGCCATGTGGGCCCCTGGCCAGTAGCCGTACCAACTATATAAAAGATGTATTGGGTATTTTTTGACCACCCTCTGCGTAATGAAGAATTTACCACAGTGAATACCTCGCATCCACGGTGCCATGGAACTGAGCTAAGGAGGGTTGTGGTTTGGACCATTTTCCTCTTAAAGGGACCTTTTGGTGGTGGATGGGCATATCATCCATTCTCCTCCACCGTGATTTTTGAATTCATGTGAAATCCTGGAGGGTTTTGAAATGACAAGCTTCAGCGACCACCTGTGCCCACCAACGTCGTGTAGTCGCTGCTTCCCTCAAACCAGTTTTGGGTCCAGTTCCTTCAAGCATTTGGGCCATTCCCCTTTAGCTGATTTCACGGATCCAAATCCTTCGAAAGCAGGTGGTTTTTGGATTCTGGATGTATTCTTGTGTGAATAAAGGGGATCCAAATTCAATTGTGGCTTCCCTTTGGTGTCAAAAAAAAAACACCGAGGATCCAACCAAATTGGATCCGTCCTTTGAAAGTTGAGGTCCACTGGACCTGGTTCCATGCTGTCACATCCTTCCCACGAACGGGGTCCGCTTGAATGAAGAACACGGAGCCTCATCTCCGGTCACAGAAGTGCTACTGATTCTTGGGCAGCGAGTGGACATATCTCTCTTTTTCTTTGATGAAAGACGAGCCCACCTTTCCCTCAGCTCCAAGGGAACTGCTGACCGGAGCTTTCGAACCAACTGAGGTGAAGAAAGGCCGGACCCGCGTCTCGGTGCCAGCGCCGGCCTTCCGATGTTTGGGCCAAGCTGCCGCAGGCATGGGTCAGACGGTCAGACAGGCAGACCCATCGGTTTCTGGGCGGGCCGGCGCGAATCCAACGGGTGGTTTTCCTGGGAGATCCATGGGTTCATTCCAAAAACCCTGATTCCCTGTCAAAATTGGTCAAATTGGTTGGTCGGTCGGTCAGTTGGTTGCTTGCCCAGTTTGGCCTCAGCCAATTTGTGGGCAAGAGGCCCAAACAAGCATACTAGCTGCTTGTTATTGAAGCCAAGGAGTGGGGGTATCAAAACTTGCCCAAGAAGGAGGTAAGGAGCTACCAGGAGGTCTGGAAGGGCTTACAGGTTGAATCACCTGGCAGGGATCCGGGAGATGGACTGGAACAAGCTGTACAGAGCCCTGGAGATCTTGACGCGCTTCTTGATCCCCTGCGAATCTGTTGCTCGCCCGAACTTCTTCCCAGGAAGGAGTTTTCAGTTTTTCAGTTTTGCAGTTTGAGCGCCAAAAGGCGATCATCGTCTTCCGGGGAAGCCCAGAGGATCCTTCGTGGACTATCAGGACCCCTCCCATCAGAAGGCTCCTTCAGAACCTTTCACGCTCGGTCCAGAATCAGGGGTGTTGGAAAAGAACCTCGGGATTCTCTAGGACACCAGTAGGCGTCATCCCATCCATGGCTATCGAAGCCATGGCTATCGAAGCGTCCTTCGGGTTATGGGAAAGCTGCTTCTGCGCACCGTCGAGGTGCTGGATTCCGGATCTGTTTGTTTTGAGTTGGCACCGTTGAGTTGGTGTTTAGGTTGCAACAGGGAAGTCACCAATTTTAACGGGTTGCGTCTGTTTTGAGAGACTGTACAAATCCTCCTGGTGTCAGGCAGCAGATGCCATACATATACTGTTCGCCAAACCACCTATCAATTGGTGCCAAGCGAGTTTTGTCCATCCACGGTCTTGGTTGCAGGGCCTGAGGAATCTGCTAGACAATGTGCACCACGCCTTGCAACTCTGAATTCAGCATCTTCACGCTCTGAGTGTTGTAAAGGGATCCACATCCATCGAAGGGGCCCCGCTGTATACATTTACTATGATTCTCTAGGTGGCGAGGGAGTGCTACTTATTTGTTGCTCCAGTTGGCAATGCCCCTTTTCAAACCCTAATGGGAACTTGAATCCTGTCACTATGACATGTCTAATGGGCTCGAAGAAGTTGCGTATGACTTTGGAATAGTTAGATCTGGAATAGCTGGGTCACCCAGACTTCCAGCGGTGCTTCCCTTGACACTCAGCTACCAAGAAGCAGGGTGCCCGAACATCCACCGGAGGTTTGCTATCATGGTTCGGTTGCCAGAGTCCCTAAATACATTGGGGCCAGTCTCAAATCACCATTATCAAGTGATTAAGAGTGGATCTCCTTGTAAATCGGGTGATTTGTATTGCATGCTTCTTTCAGAAATGGCCAACTGGGTGCGTCCTCAAAATTTCGGATTGGGACCCCAACAGAACGTCTGCCTTTCCTAGGTCCCCTACTCAGAAACAAAAAGCTACCCTTATTGTAACCTCTCTACTGGAGGATCTAGTTTCTGTGGATGTCCACGTGACACGACACGTTGCTCCAGGTTTCTCTATACCTGGTCGAGGAAGGCGGTCGCTACCTGCGGCGGGCTGCTCGCCACTCCGGTCTTTTTTGTGTGAGTTGGGTTGGTTTTGACCATGAAAAAGTGAAAAAAGGCCCTGGTCTGAGAGTTTCACCCCTTGGGCCCTGAGCTCCTGGGCTTGTTTTGTGAAAAATGGGTTGATTTCAAAGGATAAAAGCCTTCAAAAACAAGCAGTTTTGGACCCAAATTCAAGTTTTTAAAATTTGAAGAATATTTCTCTGTTTGTTTGAAAACAATTGACAGTTTGGATTTGTTTGCGGAACTCACGCAGGTGGCTCGCTAAACATTTTTTTATCAGCTTGAATCGCGCAAGCCTGATGGCCACCCAGAAGTCTTGCTGACGACCCTGTTGGCTTGGCCCTTGTCATAGTCGATGTTCATATTTGACCAACTCGGTATTCAGATGGAGGTTTCAAAGATCACCCGGGCCAAGGTCAAGGTGCCGCAGTTCCATTCCGACGATGCAGATCCATAAAGACGTAGGTCATTGTGTGCCGTTGCCTTATTCCAGAGCACTCCTTTTGCTGGCCTCCGGCCTTTGCTTTTATCAGCTTGTCCAAGGCTCGACTTGCGGCTTGGCGAGCCGTGCCTTGCGTTGCTCTAAAAGCGTCCCGGTAACTTCCACGGCTTCCAGGAATTGCAAAGAATCGAAACAAATCCAACTGTCTCATGTGTTCAATTGTTTATGCTAACTGTCCTGGTTTATTTTATTGTGTTTTTGGTGATCAACGGAGCAACATATATTCTAACTTAGGAGCCGACGGAGTAACTTCTGTTTTATTTGCTAGCCCTTTGCTAAAGGGTACTGTTTGCATGTTTTTTTCACATTCGGAGCCTTTGGTGGGCATCATTTAGGTTGAAGATTTATTTCCACAAGCCACTCTTGAGATGGTCTTGCGATAAGATTCATGGCCATGCCCGCTGCCTCGTCCAGCTCAGAGCTCCTCGCGCCGGATTTGTTTAGGTGAACACCTTCCTCGAGTCCTTCCCGCCGGAACGCCGTGGTCATCTCCTGACCCCGGTGTCGGAGACCGGGCGAACGGGTGAACGGGAAGGCTTCCCGAACACGTCTCACTGGGTGTACTTGGGCAGGGCTCCTGAAAAGATCTCCATTTTGCGACCATTTGAACCATGGCTTGCTTTTTCAACACGGCTTGAGACTTGTCACGGTCAAATGACGCGCTCGTTTGGGTTGAGACCACACGCGCTCTACTGGAAGGAACCATGAATACCACAAAAGGAATTTTGACCAAAGCACAATTGTTCAGCAGAAGTGCCTTAAGTAATTCTCTTGCGTCAATTCTTTTTGTTGAGAGTTCCTTTTTGGGTTGGTGTTGAGGGAAAGCCAAAAGGACACCCACTTTTGGTTTGGTGGGGTCTCCTTGAGGCACACCCCAATCAGACATGAGTTTGGATTCGAACATGCGCAGATGGCACGTTGAAGCTAGCATTTCGAGTCTCCAGGCTACTTCCAAGTGCTGGACATGGCCCTACAAGAGTTGGCTTGCGTGTTGCATGCGAATGGAATAAGCCTCCCAAGAACAAGTTTTTGGAGGGTAACTATGAGCAGTTGCATGATGTCCCACACATGTGGGAGCTAAAGCAGAGCCCGTTCAGCTTGGTGACCTTGGTGCCTGTTGTTGGGGGAGACTATGCCCACCTCCTAAGTGACGTATGGAAAGGGGGTGGGTGTTCCCGTAGGCCCCTAGGGTCTATTTGCACCTTTCAAGGTATTGGTTGGTAAGATTCTTGGATGCATAGACTAGGTGTCCAAGGCACACGTGCTTTAAATCAGGGGGCCCCTCCCCTCCCCTCCCCGCCCCTCCCCTCCCGTCCTGATAGATGTTCCCTTAAGTGCAACATGTGTGTGTGTGTGTGTCAAACATGTGAGTATGTCAAACAGCCTCAAAAAAGCAGAAACCCATGAAGGCTACCTTCGACTGCTAGGAGAGCACAGTGGAGGGTGCCGCGGCTGTCCATGCAGAGCCCTGTGGTTTGCCCGTGAGGGCTAAGGTGGTGACCAAGACACAGGCGTCCCGATGACTTCCAGCGTTCGATTGCTGATCGGTTGTTTGGTTGCCTGAGGTCCCACACATTCTTGGGGGAGGCAAAACAGGCCCCCATGACAGTCCTTTGGGGAATGTTGGCATCCAAGCAACTGCGAACTTCGCTACTCGGGATCCTGGAAAAAAAGGTCACAAACGCGATTTCTGAAAGGCTTGAAGGCCGATTCTCAGGAAATGGGGTGTGCACATCAAGACATTGACATGACCTACGTGCCGGTTGTTGCCCAGTCGTTTGTTGTAAGTACAGATGTGCTGAAATCATGTCATATCACCAATCATGTGAGAAAAAACTCGGGATTTATTTAGTTTTATTTTTGTTTCTTCTTTTTTTATATACACACATATCAAAGTGCAGAAGTCAAAGCGCTTTCGCCGGATTCGCAGGTTGAGTGGGCCAGCCGGGAGGCCACTGGGCTGCGACCTGGCCTGCACGGCCGGAGTCCTCCGCGTGTTTGGAGGCTCAAAAGGCACGAAGCACGTTGATACACGTAGGAAACATGCATAACGTTGGGTAAAGAAAGGCTCCCCTTAAAGAAGTCGGGGGTGGGGGGGGGGGCGGGGTCATAGGGGGAAAACCACCAGAGACAACTTGGGGGGTCAGAGTTGGGTCTCAGCAAGTACTACTTAGTACTGGCTTTGAGCTGGCCTAGTACTGTTTAAAATGGGTTTTGGTTTAGTATTCCCGTGTACTGGTTCAGTTGTCTTTAGTACTGGTTTAGTATTTCGTAAGTATTCCTCAGTACTGGCTCATATATTTGTTGCATCTCTATTTCGTCCCCTTAAACACTTATTATTATTATTATTATTATTAACTGTTTGGGGCTATTCCTGTGCCACCCTTGGAAATATGTTTGGGCGGGTGTTCTAGTAAAGGGTGTTATAAAGAATTTGGCTGTTTGGGGCCTCAGTTGGGCTTGGTATATATTTGTTTTTCGTGGTAGTATTGATTGAGTGTGGGACGCTGTGGAGGCCTGCGTTTTTCAGTGAAAGTTGTGTTTTTCTCAAAACAACAGTTTTATTTATTTATTTATGTTGGGGCAAAGCATTTCTACATTCCATTGTTTTCTTGCTTCTCTAAGAACAAACAGTTTTTAGATTTGACTAAGAGGTCTACTGATCAGAAATTGTGTTGATGACCTATGGAAGGTGCAAGTAGAATAAGTTATTATCTTGCCTCCTCCCATTTATTGCGTGCCACCGGTAGGCATAGGAGCTAGAGATCCTGTCTCTAATGATGCAGACTTTAGTGTTGCCCACTTGCCAGGTGGTCTGCCTCACCTCTACTGGCAATGTGACTTGTGATCTGTCTGTTGATTCCGAATGGCGGTCGCGGGGAGAATAATCTTCGCTCCCCAAGCTCAGATAGCTTGGTAGCCTACTGGTGCCATTTGTTCGCAGAGCGGGGCAAGGACTCTCACAACTTGCGCAGGCCTTCATTCCACCAACCCTTTGTGAGCTTCATGCGTGCCAAGTGGAAATGCAAGATGCTGGTTCCAGCAAACAAGGATCTGACCAACCACCCCGCTGCATCCACTTCGCATGCCTGTAGCTCACAAGAGGTCGGTGGGCCTCTGCCAGTTGTGGTGATGAGGCTCGTTCCCCCACGTCCTTGTTAAAAGAAATGCAGCTGCTGAGCTTGGCGGTTGAGCCTTTTCATTGGCCATGGATTGCTGGCAAATCATGTGGGGAGGATGCTTTGCCCCCTCGATATGCTGAATGGAGGAAAATATCGCTAATCATATTGCCAGTAGATCCGGAAATCTGAATGGCAAGGCAGACCACCTGCAAGTGGGCAACATTAGTTTCTGCATCATTAGAGATAAGATCTCCAGCTCCCATGCTTGCTGGTGGCATGCAATAGATGGTACGGGAGGAGGTGAAAGAATACCTTATTCTACTTGCACCTTCCATAGGTCATCAACACAATTTCTGCTCAGTAGGCCTCCTATGGTCAGCCCCAAAAAACTTAGGTTCAGAAACACAAGAAACAATGGAACACGGAAATGCTTTGAGCAACATTGCGCTACATGAAAAGACACTAGTTGTTTGCAAGAAAAACACAGCTTTCATTGAACTGAGGTATTCATTTCTGATGCCAGCTAAACTTTCTATGTTAACCAATAGCAAGCTAGCACCCTTCTGCAAATTGGCCTAAGCTATTGCAAATGCAGCTGTATGCCAAAGCCACGTACACAAACATATTCCACCCAATTCCACCCAGTTGAATTGCCATAGAGGGTGTGACGCACAAGGCAAGCCATGATAATACTACACGCAAATGGGCCGACAAGCAAAATGCATAGGTAAGTTTTTCTAGGACTAGCCCCTGTGCAACCAAGCCCTTCTTGCCACAAGTGTTTGTTCATTAAAGGTGAGGCAACGCAGCAATCGAGGTTCGCGCCAGTTGCACAGTTTCTTGCAGCTAACACTGCTTTTAGCGACCACTTCTAATTGTGCTTCATGAATTGCACAACAGGCTGGCCAGCATGGTGCTATTCTTGCAATTGCTCAAGCAGCAAACACTAGCTAAGTGTATAAGCTACTAAGATGCATAGCTCAACTCGTAAACATAGTGACCCATTGGGTTCAAATCTAGGCAACTGAATCACAGGCAACTTCAAGGAAGGTTTTCAAGCAAACAAGGCATCCTGGAACTTTGCAAATGGGGCTAGGGACTGGTAGGGGAAACACAAACTAAAGGCGATCCAAATCCTGGCCTACAAATTGGGGCCCCAGTGATCCTGGGCTGAGTATGGGGGGTCTTAGCGGGGGAAAAACGGTTTTGACATGTTCAAGTGTTTTTTCTCACGTGCCTTGGGTTCGACAGACCACCTCACTGCATTTCATGTTTGCTTCTTCTTGTTTCTTGAGTCTATGCCGACAAATTAAGGGAGGACACTTGTGAAGGCCACAGACTTCTGCTCGTGAAAGCACAAAACTTCAAAACCAACGCAAATTACAATCACTGAAAAACGCAGGCCTCCACAACGTCCCCTGCTGTATTGATTAGTATCGGTTTAGTATTCGTGTGTCCATATTTTCCTCCGAAAAAAAACAACTTGTCTGAGTTTACTTCCCCTTTTCTTGTTGAGGGTGGGGAATCATGTTGGCATGTATGTTTGCATCACCTCCCCGCTACCCGACGTGGAGCCCGAAAGCTTCAAACTGGGCTGTCAAGCAGTTGTCTTGTTTGTGTTCCTTTTGCCAAATGAGTGGGTCACCTAATAGGGGATAAAGACAGCTAATAAGGTAAACACAAATTTCAAAACGGAAAGAACACGCATAATTCAGTGCAAAACAAGCTCTCAAATGCATAAAAAAGAAGGCCTTACAAGGACTCTTAAAGGCTTACAAGGACTCTTAAAGGCCTTACAAGGACTCCTGTTGCAAGGCCTTGCAATATTTGTTGCAAGCGTTCGGGTTCAATTGTTTCCCTTGTTGTAGCATTTGTTTTGTTGGTTGCCAGATGGAAAGATTGTTGCCAGATGGAAAGATTGTTGTGGTTTCCCTGGTAGTGATGTCCCACTACTGTCTGGAGATGAAGATTAGCGACCCCCCATCTTCAGTCAAAGGATCGTATGTTCTGCGGCTTCATGTAGTCCTTCACCAAACAACATGAACCCAATTTAGACACTCTGAAAAGCGGGGTTCGGGGGCAGTAAGAACAACCTTAAGATGCGGTGGGGGACGGAACCAAAGTTTTCCTCCGGCCTTTTCTGGAACAACACTGTTTTCATTTTTACCCTGCCAGACATGAGAAAGGCTTCGGGTACATTTGAACAGGGGACCCTGTTTTTCCATGTCCTTCAATGTACCTTCTGACCATGGGCAACCCAAAAAGGATCGGTTGGTCGACCAAACATCCAAGCCTTAGCTCATCCTCACTTGTTCAAAGCCGACCTTTTGACCTTTTGGTTTTCCCATTTTGGTCCATATTTCGTCATGGCCCCAAAAGGTTAACCTTTTAGCAGGTCCTTTGGGCAACTGAGCCTCAGGTACCCGCTGCCCAGCAAGGGCACCTTCCAGGATCTCAGCGCGGGCGCGTCCCTGGCACCCTACCCCCCGGCAGATTGGACCTCGCCAGAGGCGCCCACTGCGACTTGGACATGTTTGAACCTCTCAGGGAAGAAAAGGTGCGAGATGGATTACCCCCTTCCCCCAGAAGTCCATGTGGCTCAAAATTCAGGAGCTCAGGTTACGCAGGCTGTAGTCTTGGGTTCCATTTACCAAGCTGTGATTTTGGCACATCTTTTCGAGCCACTGCCCCATGAGTTTGGATGGGTGTCGACAGGGACCCCATCCTTTTGCTGTGGGTTTTGGACAAGAGCCATCCAACCACTTCCATGAGTACTGGAACAGGACCGTGTTTTTTTTTCTGTATGGATGCGAAAGATGTTCAGTCAAGTTCGGTGTAGGCGCCTGTTGAGAGCTCGCTTGAGAGTTGGCCTATAGGCTGGCAAACTTCATTTGGGTGTGTGTCGAAATATGGCGGACCCCACAAAGTTAATGTTGACCCCGGATTAGTAAACCAACCGGTTAATTAATTAATATGAGGGTTGTCCCTGATTTTAGTGGGGATTCAGACTACTTGTGGAGGGGGGTTTATTAATCCGGGGGGAATATTAGTTCTCCTTTTGCTTTCCCTTCAACCCACCTCCGCAAAGGATTCCAGCCCTCCACACAGCACGCACCACACATTGACGGCACACGTACCGCACAGAGGTGACGCGAATCCGCAACGTCCTGGCCTTCCCCTTGCTTTTTGGCAGCTCGCAGGAGGACAGCCGAGCCGGACGAAAGAAATACAAGTGCGGGTTTGGCGGCTGGGCCCCTGCCCGATTTGACTCTGTGAGTTTAAATGAACTTTAGTAGCAACTATGTGTGCCCCGTGGTCTTTTTAATCCAAGGACAAAAATGATGTTTGTCCAAAAAGGAGCCTTGACTGAATTATTGCGTAACCAGCAAACAACAAACATACAAGTTTGCTATTTCAACAAGTCAGGTTTCAGTCTATGCGTGCATCTCCAGGTATGCCGCGTTGCCATCGCTGGCCCCATGATTTTCCCATTGTGAAAGTCACCTCGCAAGTGGTGGGTTGAAGGAACACCCACGTTTCTGACTTTGATAGCCCCAATCTCATGAAGGCCCCAATCTCATCACAAAAAAACAGTTTTGCAGACACCTCTACGACTGCTAACACCTGCCAGGATGATCCTTTTGGAGACTACGCCTCAGCAGATACCGAGCATGCGCTCGCGGATGAGCGGGTCTTTGCGGTACTAAAGCTCACAAACCGCCTGAGCAAGGGCAACGGGCGCGCGCCGGTGAATATTGCCGCCAGCTCGCGGGATAGGCACGGTCGCCTCACGTGTCCTGCAAAGCGTCGCTGCTGTGGTTTGCAAGACATGTCGGCAGACGAGTGCATAGGACGTCATGCAAGGCCTTAAAGGTTCCCTTTCATTCTTCATTGTTTCTTTGTTTAATCATGGGATCTTCAACTTGCGTTTGGCACGTGCCGCGCTTTGCCGTTTTACCCTTCAGTTCGCTTTTCCGTTGAGCGACAGATCATATGTTTAGTCCTATGTCTCGCCAGGGCAGACCTGAAGTATCAGCCTTTCGCCAAGAGGGACTCTGAGCTTCTGGAAGCCATGTCCGAGTTCCTCAGAGAGGCGAGCTGACTCTCACAAGACCCTGAATGTCGACCCCCTATTCATCAACCAACCAGTTTATGAATAGGGGGCTGTCCCTGGGTTTAGTCCTAGTGCTCATGTAAAGGCGCTTTCAGGAAAGCCCAAACAAAAAACATGCTGACCATGGTTCAAAGAACAGAACAGGACAAAAACATAATAAATCGCACCTGCGCTCTTGAGATGCTACCCAACACACAACTCCAGAACCTCTATAGCAGGTTGGGAATGCGGGCAACTATCTAGGCCAGACTTAGCCCCCTGCAACAAGCTCAGGTGTTTGCTGGTTGAGAACAAATGAACAAACAGAACAAAGGGCAAAAAAGCAACCGGCCTTTTGCCTTTGGAAATTCTGCTACCTGGCGAGCATTTTGCTGGACAATCCTAACTGGGTTCGAACAAATGGCTTCCCTTCAGATGCTACTGACCCAATATTAATCAACCCGAGTTTATTAATAGAGGGGTGTTCCCCCCCGAAAGTGGTCTGATTCCCCACTATCTCTGTTTCCTGGGTTTTGGGCAGGGCTGGACAGTAGTTCAAACAACCAACCCTTGGTCTCATTTAGAGGGAACCCGAACGGAGGTTGTTTAACAAGTGTTGTAAGCAATAATTTAAAAAAGAACTGGATCGCCCAGAGCTGGTACTCATCAAAGCGAGCTATTCCCAATGTGGGCCTAGGTCCAAGTTGTTCCAATCTTGGCTGAAACCCAGTGGCCCGTCAGAAATGGAACTTTGGCTAAAGGAACGTGGAAACCTGAGGTCTACTTCAGCATTGACCCCGTCACCTTTGGACCTCGCGCCAGCGCATCGTTGGATGTGCGGGAGGAGATCGAGCCATTGAACGCCCCATCCATGATGAGCGGCCCAAGCCGGTCAAACCAGTCAGGCGAACCAGACGAGTGGGATGCAATTCAGAGAATCCCAGATGTTTCGCAACTACTACTAGGTAACTAGTCCTGGAGCTTCCATCGTTACATAAATTCTTGTACCTTTAGGTTGTTGTCATTGTTTTTGTGGGTTCGTAATGTTTTTGTCCAATTCGAGCGATTCGAGCGGAAATCCTAATAAACGTACTAATTTAACTTCCCGGCATATGTAGCTGGGAGCTGGCCAAGTGTGTTGCTTGGCAAAACGCTAAGTACATGTACCCGGATAGAGGGCATGATACCAGTTTGAAGAGATCATGCTGGGAGCTCTTAAACTTAGTGGAGACCCTTGAATCAACATTAAATTCCAGCTGCCTTTGGCTGCATGACTTGATCCATTATTGGGGTGCCTGTTTCCAGGGCCTGATATCAATGAATTTGCACAACCTGTCCTCGGTCAATGACACACACGATTCGGTGAGCTTTGGAGGAAAACGCGCGCGCGGAAACGGCCGCAAAACGAGCGCAAATCGCCGCAACCCGAGCGCAAAAAGCAGCAACCGAGCGCAAATCCCATTTTCAGGTACGATTGCTTCCTCGGTGAAACAGCTGTTGCGCAAGTTTGTTGAGTTTGGCCTGTTGGCTGCTGCGCAATGCCAGAATTCTGCAAGAATCATTGCCAAGCGAGCGGTTCCAAATTTGCAGGCCGTGTGCCCAACCAAGGCCGCCGAAAATAAGATGGAAACCAAACAAAACAAATGACCCGGGTGCTGCGCATTGGTTCAGGCCCGAGCCTTACCCTGCAATCTCCCTGCTGCTTTTGCATGTGTTCTTTGAGTTTGGCCGCTTGTCCAACTATCAGGCCAGCGTTGCGCCAACTCTGATCGAGCAGATTTTCCCGAAACGAGCAACAATTTAGGAAACGTGACGGAAATCCAGAAGGGGCAGAAATTTACATAACAATGGAAGATCCAGGGTGGGATTTTCCCATCAGTTTTGAAATTGTGGTTTCTTTTGGTTGCATATCATGGTGGCGACCTGAACCACAGGGCTGCTGGGCAACTGTGAAGAGCTCACCGATGAGGGCCGGGGGGGAACGAGCTCGGGTTCTTTTCTTGGGGGTTCCCTTATTTCTGGTTCGGGCGTATCAAGCGGCTGCGTTTACAGTTGAAATTATGATGATCATTTTGTTATCAAGCTGCATTTGGGCGACCTAACAAAATAGTGGTTCGCCTTTTGTCTTCCCTTGACACCAATCTTACAAAATGTGCCCTAAAACAAAGACGGGCCCTTGTTGTCAACTGCTCATTTGGCAGGATGTAGGTGCCTTTTTCTGCAGTTCCTGGACCCACTGGTTGGGCCAGCCCTGCTCTCGCTTTGACAGCAATGCAGATGGATGCTTTGGGATCTGACGAACCAAGATTTGTTTCGGGTTTCGGTCAAACTATCCAGTCTATGGTTCGGTTGAGGCTCGGGACATGGGGAGCTTTGCTCGAAGTTTCTCACCAAAGCGGCAAGGGGGCTCGGGGGGTCTTATGGCAAACCCCTTTGTGGGTGCGTTGAAAAGGGAAGCCAAAAGGACACCAATCCAGTTTAGGGGCCCTGCGAAAAGCACTCGGGAAGCCTTACATTTTCCCATGTCCTTGGGTAACGGGCCTTTTTGGACATGGTTTTGAGGTTGAAACCAAAGCGAACCAGACCGTTTTGAGTGTCCGAATCCCTAGTTAACCCAACTGGCACGTTAGCGCGTCACGTGCAGGCAGCCGAGCTCACAACCAATCTGGCAGCCGGCTCTTGAGCCACGTGCAGAGTGGTGGCAGTGCTGCTGCTCGACTTCGGGTTGGTCTTTTTTCGGTTTGCACCTCAAAGCCGCTTGTTGACTGAACAGGATATGAACCTTCAGTCAAAGAAACAGTTAAATGGGTTTGGCCTTCTGGTTGGGCTCAAAACGAACTTTTCGACTCAGATACCACGTGGTGCCCTTTTTGCCTTGTTTTGAAGGGGGTTGCCTTTAAAGGCAACCCTTGGGTTAGCTTTTCACGGAACGGGAACCTAAAGGCGAAGAAACAGTTGACAAAAACACATATTTAGTTGTGAGTGTTTGGCTCAGTCAGAATCATGACCCAACTTGCAGATATTAGTAAAAGCAGTCTTGTTTTTTGAACAGTCATTGCAAGCAAGGCAAGCATGGCCGCTGGGATGTTTGGAATCCTGGGCAACGCTTTCGCGAAAGGCGGGATGCAAATTGTCGGCGTGCGAGTTGAAGGGACTGCGACAACGCGAAGGGTGAAGATGCACAGTGGCATGATGGGGCAACCACTATCAGAAACGGAAAGAGAGTGGCCGGTAAAGGGTTTGTTTGTGCGGGTCAAGAGGGATATGATACATGGTAATCGGAGTTTGATCCGAGGAATGTCTTGAGTTAATACCATCCCGGAGGGCTTGCCTGTGCTCCAAGAGCGCTTGCACAGCTTGCTTGGTAGCTGTCACCAACCATGTTTGAGGCGTTCCTACCATTTAGATTCACAGCCAACTCCCCTTTCAGTGGTTGGTTGCTTGCCACATCCCATTCAATCCCATCTAAAAGCTTGTGACGCAATTCTACCCGCCAGTGGTTTTAGCCCCACACCGCCTCACCCGATCTTTGAGCCTCACTCCCTGGTGGTAGACAAAAAGCTTGGTTACTTTTTCGTGGCCGGTCCACGCCGGACGTGAACCGACCCCCAGGTCTTCCCACGCGGCACCGTCGCCGCTCGCTCGCAGGCAGCTCCCAGAAGCGGCGCGCCGCAGAGCTGCCGGACCTGCTGCAGAAGCCGGAGGCGCGAAGTCTGCGGCGAAACCAACCCCTTCGCCAGTTTTGTCCTAAAAGCGCGGCGAAAAAAATGGAAACCAACCCCTTCGCATTTTTTCCCTGAAGGCGCGGCGAGAAAAAATGGAAAGCGCCCCGGTTTGCTTGGGGAGAAAGGGAAACCTGGCTTCCACTGGGTGGTTTTTTTGCGCTTGTTTTCTGGGAGGCGCGGGAAAAGGGGGAGGGCCCCGGTTTTTCTTTGGGGGAAAAAGGGAAACCCGCAGGAAGGCAGAAGTCGCTTTGTTTGGGGGTCCCCCGAATGTGTTGTCGACACATACCCAGTTTTCGCTAATGTTGACCCGGATCTCACTGGAATCTGGTGCATTCAGGGGAAAGTGTGCTGCCAAGTGCGTGATGCCTTCCAAAATGCAACTCCTATCAATCAACCTGTTGTTTTTAATCCGGGGTTGCTATTGTGGATGGACAAGCTCCACGCCAGCTGGGATGATCAAATCCTATGAACACTGGTTGATAAACCGGCAAACTGCAAACTGTAAGTCGAGCAGCAAACAAGGATGAATTTTGGAACCTCGTCGTTTGGGGGAGGACCCCTGGACATATCCATGAGTTGTTCTTGTTTACTTGGCTGGATGAATGGAAATTGGCTTACGTGCTCATCAAACGGGGGATCAACGAGCAGTTAGCGGTTGAGCTCAATCTTAGAAGTCATGTCCACGAAAAGGACTTGAGAGACAGAAGAGTTCCTTTCAGAACAGTGCCTCCCTGTTGAAGGGAGAATGACTTGTTGCACTCTTGATTTCCTTTTCTGGCATGTGGCTACGAACTATGATAGGGAACACATGGTGACAAATTCCCAAGTGAGTAAGTCGCACTAGGGAACGCACAGTTCCCACAGTCCAGGACAAAGTGCCCCAATCTGGGCAATACATTTGTCAGTTAAGTTGCTCATGTATTTCTGTCCACCAAACTGGGTCCCTTTCAGTGAACATGTGGTGGGGTTTGTAAATGACTTTTTGTGGCGGTTCCCCTCGAAACACTATAGAGAGCCTAATTTTGAGGGTGTCAATTTGACCCGGTCAAAAGGGTCGATTCATGCCGTTTGGGAGGTCCAAGTCACCTCAGACAGCTCAGAATCTATGCGTGCGGCGCCGGGCTGGGTGTACAAGGACAGGGCGTGAGGGGGGTTTCCGTTGGCCATTGGTGCATTTTCTGTACCCTGGTAAACAAAGGGAAACCACTTGGTAAAGGGCTCCAAAGAGGGTGTCCAACCACCCATGAGTTTGTTTGTCATGGTCATCCCACAACCTTTGGGCACATGTACGGATTGACGAAGTGATCAATATTGGTTGTTTGAAGTCCAGCTCATTGAAACATTGAAAGGCACCTGTAGCTACTCGCATGATAGCCAATGACAGCACTTTCTAAGACATGGATTTCCTACCTACTTTGAGGCCGGTGATGCTTCCTTTTGATAACAGGCGAACACATCGCAGGTCACCAACAGGCGTACGAGCCCCAGACAAAATAGGTTATTTCCATCAGGACATCGGAAATTTGGTGGTCCCCTCGTTTGTCCTACCGCACCCCTACTAATGCGTGAGTCCAGCTGTTGGATTTTTGTGGTCCCCCCCCCATGGCCTTCCCAAACGAAGAATAAACTACCTTTGGGTTTCGCCGGTTTCGCCTTGGCTGAGCTGCGCCCAGCTAGTAGTGCGCTGAAGGCGACAGAGACACAGGGCCAGGCCCCACACACCACATGGCACTGCTGCAGACTGTTCCGCTCTGGCCCTTGAAACACACACACACACAGACATTGAGTCATGCGCAACTGCAAGAGTTTGCCTTTGTGGCATAGTGCATGAAAAAGTATGGGGAATGACCCTTTGTCTATGTCCGTCACCACGTGTCTTTGCAGACAACAAACCACCCACAAGGCGGGTAGTACACTGAAAGTGTTGCAAATCCTTTCCACCACCAAGCATTTGAGTGCTAGCAGCCACATATAGCCGTTGGGAAACAGCAAATAAGAAGCAGTAATTCCCACACCACTTGCGTGACATCCAGCAAAACAATGCATCCTGCTCTGCACACAGAGCGCATAGCAAACCAGAAACAGAAACCAGCCGAGGGTCGCACATGCACACAATTCTTGTAGCTGAAAACCGCCACCATGCAGTCCTCCTTGCAGAAGCCATGCTCAAGTTAGCCGATAGCAACTCCTCATGCAATGTGCAACCAGCATCAGGTCTGCACTTTTGTTTGGCTCAAGTTGCCAAAGCCTTCCAGTCTCTTACAGAGAGAGAACTTCAGCAACATTTTGCACCTGATATCTTTCCAGAAGATCCCGCCAGCAAATTCACTGAATGAAGGCGCCGCATAGAAACCTTCCAGAGAGATCCCCAAGTTGCGGTAGTACTTCATGACCCTTCGCGCACCTATTGCCATAACATCATGACGGGCAACTTTCCACTCTTCAGCACACCAAGAAAGCGTCGAAGTGTGAGCACCACACTGCCTGACCAACACATCATCGCATCTTCTCACTCTCAGTTCTGCTCAGGACGCTGCCACACTCAACATCTCCTGCCACAAGGGTCCGTGCCGAAGATTTAGTACCCATGTCCTGCGTGTTTAGGCATCCGACGTGAGTGCTCAAATTAGTCGAAATTGCACTACCGCTGGAAGGGTTTGAGCCATAGACTGCCAGTAGTTTTGTCAGTTGCTTGTATGCAATTATTATTCAGGAGTGGACGGAGGAGGACCTCGATCTGATCAGTGCAGACCAGGCAGCAGCCGCTGGCACTAATTTGGAGCACACATTTTCAAGGAAGCCAGCTTTGCATGATGGGTCTGAGCAAATTACAAGCTCACTGATTCGGGGCGACAACAAGGTGACTCATCATAAAGGCTGTTTACTGCGGCGGGTCTCTGATGTCCGCTTTGGAACTTACTGTAATGTGCTCAGATACAGCCTTACGCGTCAAGACCACTTGGCGTGATAGAAAAGAAAGCTGCAGCGAGTGGCTGATAGGTGTTGTCCCTGTCAAGGTCTGACTGCAGCGCTTACATTAGATTTGAGCTGGCAACTATGTGCAAGGGACAACTCAACTAGGTGGGATCACTCAACTGCTGGTATTGCCTATAGCTCGAAACCTTGTCGCTTAGGAATAACATTGAATTGTAATGTTGGACCTCCAAAAATCTGACCCCTCCCCTGAACAATGGAACCAGTCACTGCGACCCTTTTTGGTAAAAGTCCTGGGGGTCTGGGTGGGACTGGGACTTGCTAGCACTTACTTTAGCATCGCAAAGACTAAATTTAGTATTGCTGAACAATGGAACCAGTCACTGAAACCGACCCTCTTGAGTGAAAGCTTTCTACACTAGAGGCCCCAATTACAATTGAGCCACAATCAAAACCCGGGTATAGATGAAGGATAGTAATTAAGGGCCAATCCCAACCATAAATAGCTTCAGCCGCCTTCTGAATTCTTTACATGGTTCTGGGTAGACCATTTTAGCACCGGGTTTGATTCTGACTCGATTGGGGGTCCGCCATGAATCAGAAACCGTTACCGACACCGAGGCAGGCCGACGCCGAGTGGGTGGCATTACCTTCTTGGCGACCTGGCGGCTCAAAAGCGACGTGACGGTGGACCCGTTCTGCGTGACTGGCCTGCAAGCTGCGGATGCATTTGAGTCTCCGTTTTTTTGCTCCTCCATTACTTAAAGGTACGAAAATGATCTCAAATGAATTAGAAGGGAATGCAAAACACCACTCATCTGGCTGTGCTTTTGTTCTGAAGGTACTAGTATCATATATTTTTGTGGTTTGAGAGGGAAACCAACAGGGAAAACCATATCATGTTGGGGGTTTCCCTATTTCAGGACACACCCATTCGGGTCCTGTGCGGTGAATTGTCAGGGGGCGGAGAAATCTCCGGCCAAGACCCAACTCATGAGCATGGCTGCTGCTGTGCTAGGTTCGAATGCTATCGCCACTTGAATGTGCCTGCAACATTTTATCTTATATACATATAGTTCAAACTTACCATGGGTTACGCAAGGGGTCCCCTTTAGCAGTTGCTTCCCTATAGGGATCACGGATTTTTTTTGGCCACCATTTCGACCAGCCTACAATGTTTAAGTGGGTTACATCAAGACGAGACATCAAGACGAATCTTGTGACACGCTTAGAAGGCTTGAAGCCGTCCCAAATCACGCGAAGTCAGGTGATTTGCCGCTTCCAGATCCGAGTGGCCAGAACCTCGCGCTTGGGTCCGGGCGAACAAGCAGTGTGGAAGGAGGCCCAGCCGTTCTTCTGCGTATCCGCGGATGAAGCCGGATCCTCAGAAAGACTGGAACAATGGAATTTGGTGGACCCCACGCCCCCTCCCCCCCTCAAGGTATAGGGTGGATACCAATCACATTAAGTGCCAATGGGGATCATAATGAGTGTGACCGTAAAACGTGCGTGAAACACCTGCGAAACGTGCGCGAAGGCCTGCTAGCGATTTATCACTTTCCGCTGCGGGTTTGCTATGGAATCGGCTCAAATTGAGCGCAAGTTCAAAGTTGAACGCACCTCGGATGAGGACCAGGTGAAAAGGGTGGAAGCCCTTGGCATTCCCATTCCACACGCCACAGCTCTCTCATGCAGGTTCCGCGAGGGCAAGAGGCGAGGTGTTCCAAAGTCCTGCAGGCGAGCTCGACTTCAACATGTTTTTGCTCAGGCGTGCCCATGTTCAGGAACGACAAGCTTTGAAAGTTAGGGTGGTAAGCCCACAAAGAGGCAAGCCATCAGTTTGTTTCAATGCAGCCTGTCAGAAAGTGCTGCTGCGTTCGCTACCAAGTTCACCTTGGTGCCCACGAACAACAAACAAGTGCAAAGCTAAACAACGCATCATGCACCAGGTGCAGTATGCAACTCGTGTGGGATGCCCTGGGCAAACCTCCGGAGAGCGCAGCTCTCGCTGCCAGCAAAGGGCATGCAGGGCATGATGGTGAGTGCTTGTTTGCGCGTATGCAAGGGGCAGCGCAAGTTGACACCTGCAACCAACCACCGGCACTTGCAGAAGCGATCCAAAGCCCCGGGTGGGCCCTGAATGCTGTTGTTCGGGTTTCACTGTGCGGATGGGCAATGAGAAGCCAAGTTTGCTTGCGACGTACTTCTACCCTCGTGACTTCATCTACGCCGCAACCCTGGAAACGAAGCCTGGCCTTCCCCTTCCCGCAGCCCAGCCGCAGCGGTCGCCTTCGCTTGTCGTGAACCTCGCGAAGGCAACCTTTCCACAAATTCTGGCCCTGACGGCCATCGCGAGCGACAAATCCATGAAGTAAGAAACACCCATGGGTATGTGTCAAATAGGGGCACCCCAAAACGACGATGTTTGCCTGTAGGTGTCCCTTCAAATCACGTACAAATTTTGCACCCTGGCACCACCCCATGGGTATGTGTTAAATAGGGGCACCCCAAAATTATGATTTGTGTCTGTACGTGTCCCGTTAAATCACTTTCAAAAGGTACCCTGGCGCACACACACACACACACACAATTGCGCGGCTTTGGGTTGCAGCGCCGAAGGTCCACGATCAGTACTGCGCCTTCCTTTCCGATTTCCTTCGCTACGGCGAGGAATACATCGTGAGCGTGCGAGCTGGCTCCGCTGATCGCTGGCCCTCTGGCGTGTGAAACTACCACACCTTGCCGGTTTCTGTTGCCGGCACTCCTTCGGGCAGTATTTTTTGCAAGGGCAAGCCGACCTTGACGAGGACTTCCTACTGGAAGATCCTGATTTCATGTTTGTAAATTGTAGTATGTTGCCCAAGTAACTTCCTTCTCCCTTTTAAGTCCTGGGTTTTTCCGCAATTGACAAGATCTTGAAGGTCTACTGTGGGTTTAGGGAGGACAAGAAGCGGGGACAACCCCAGCTTCCTACAACGCCAATCGGGCGCAATCCAATTCTGCCATGGCTGTCTTGTCCGCGGCCCGGTCATGTCATGTGCCCACTTTTCGGTTTTAGCCAGTCTCTGGTTCTTTTCCCCATCTGGGAACCTCCACCACGAGGTGTTTTTGCGCCTGAGACGCCCCTTTTTGTTTCCTAAACAGATTCCAACTTGATTTGAGGCTTGCTTTGCAGTCTGAGGTAGCATGCCTCATATATCTAGTTCATGCAGGATCACGTTCCGCGCGGCATGATCTGGAAGCCATCTGAATCTTCTCTTCGTGCTCTTGTTTACCCGGTATACTGTATTGATTCGGACACATGATGTTTTTGTTCTTCCTCTTTTGTTTCTTTGTTTCTCTCTCTCTCTCTCTCTCTCTGTATGGGAACCACTGTTTGAATTCCAATAAACTTGGGTCTAACGGTTTCCACTGCCCCCGAACCACTACCCCCAGAAGATAATTGGATTTATACATATATATATATATATGTATATGTATATGTATAGATATCGATGTGGGTGTTTTTTGTATGCATATACACATGGGTGTGTGTGTGTGTGTGGGAAACCAAGAGGAATGCACTATTTTTGTGGGTTCGTTTTGTCATATCATATACAGCCACTATCTGGCCAATTTGCGGAGTGTAGAACCCCCGCTTTTCCCCGGGGGTAGTGCGACAATCACTTGCTGCTCCTTAGGGAATCAAGGTGGCGTTGGGAACGAACCGGAAGGGGAATTATTTCACGGCCCGAACGGAACCACAAGAGATGGTTCTGGGGTCATGCCCTTCCCTAAATCAGCAGCAAGATGATCTCAGATGGCCATGGGTCAAAATTCCGTACCCCAAGTGAGCATCCCAATCCCCAGTAAAATAGACAAACATGGGTAGTGCACCTACCCCAAAATGGGATACCATTGGTTTTGACCCACAGCCAGAATCGGGTCGCTAAGGAGCGAGTGGAGTGTTGCCTCAGATCCTACGCGCCTCAAGGCAATTGGGTTGATCCAGGGGGGAAGTTTTAGTTGCTCCTTTTGCAAGCTTATCCCATTCCATTTTGTTGACGTCCTTTCCTCAATGTTTGGGTTCCATGTTCGAGAATTTTCAAGGCAAGGTTAAAACTCTCCACGAATACGGGTTCCCAGTTGCACTCACAAGGCTTCAAATCTTTCAGGACTTTCCAAGGGTTTCACGTTCCTTGGCGAATCCCAAAAGGGTTCAAAGGGTCCATTGATATTTGTATTTGTTTCCCACTGGCTGTCTCAGGTCTTCCTTTCCAACCGGGTTCCAACTCGAGACATCATCTTCTGAAACCAAACATATGTTCAACACCTTTTTTGGGGGGTTGTTAGTTTGACGGTTTCTCGGGGTGATGAAAGTCAGAAAATGAGGTCGTTTCCCTTTAACCCAACACTTAGGGGGTGACTTTGCTCATGGCAACATCTTCCTTTCCAACCGGGTTCCAACTCAAGACATCAGTGTTTGAAACCAAATCCGATTTTCAGCACCCCTTTTCTCGGTTTCTGGGGATGATCAATGTCAGAACATGGGTTGTTTCCCTTTAAGCCACCACTTAGGGGGTGACTTGGATCATGGTAAAATCTTCTGTTCCAACCGCGTTCCAACTCAAGACATCAGTTTTTGAAATTAAATCTGATTTTCAGCACCCCCTTTATCAAGTCAGAAAATAAGGTTGTTTCCCTTTAAGCCACCACTTAGGGGGTGACTTTGATCATGGTAAAATCTTCCTTTCCAACCGGGTTCCAACTCAAGACATCAGTTTTTGAAATTAAATCCGACTTTCAGCACCCCCTTTATTAACGTCAGAAAATAGGGTTGTTTCCCTTTAACGCACCACTTGGGGGGTGACTTTGATCATGGTAAAATGTTCCTTTCCAACCGCGTTCCAACTCAAGACATCAGTTTTTGAAACCAAATCCGATTTTCAGCACCCCCTTTATCAAAGTCGGAACATAGGGTTGTTTCCCTTTAACAAACCACTTAGGGTGACTTTGATCATGGTAAAATCTTCCTTTCCAACCGGGTTCCAACTCAAGACATCAGTTTTCGAAAACAAGTCCGATTTTCAGCACCCCCTTTATCAAAGTCGGAAAATAGGGTTGTTTCCCTTTAACAAACCACTTAGGGTGTGACTTTGATCATTGTAAAATCTTCCTTTCCAACCGCGTTCCAACTCAAGACATCAGTTTTTGAAATTAAATCCGATTTTCAGCACCCCCTTTATTAACGTCAGAAAATAGGGTTGTTTCCCTTTAACGCACCACTTAGGGGGTGACTTTGATCACGGTAAAATTTTCCTCTCCAACCGCGTTCCAACTCAAGACATCAGTGTTTGAAATTAAGTCCGATTTTCAGCACCCCTTTTCTAGGTTTCTGGGGCTGATCAATGTCAGAAAATGGGTTGTTTCCCTTTAAGCCACCACTTAGGGGGTGACTTGGATCATGGTTAAATCTTCCTTTCCAACCGCGTTCCAACTCAAGACATCAGTTTTTGAAATTCAATCCGATTTTCAGCACCCCCTTTATCAAAGTCAGAAAATAAGTTTGTTTCCCTTTAACCCACCACTTGGGGGGTGACTTTGATCATGGTAAAATCTTCCTTTCCAACCGCGTTCCAACTCAAGACATCAGTTTTTGAAATTAAATCCGATTTTCAGCACCCCCTTTTATCAAAGTTAGCACATAGGTTTGTTTCCCTTTAACCCACCACTTACCGGGTGACTTTGATCATGGTAAAATCTTCCTTTCCAACCGGGTTCCAACTCAAGACATCAGTTTTTGAAATTAAATCCGACTTTCAGCACCCCCTTTATTAACGTCAGAAAATAGGGTTGTTTCCCTTTAACGCACCACTTGGGGGGTGACTTTGATCATGGTAAAATGTTCCTTTCCAACCGCGTTCCAACTCAAGACATCAGTTTTTGAAACCAAATCCGATTTTCAGCACCCCCTTTATCAAAGTCAGCAAATAAGGGTGTTTTCCTTTAAGCCACCACCTAGAGGGTGACTTTGATCATGGTAAAATCTTTCTTTCCAACCGCGTTCCAACTCAAGACATCAGTTTTTGAAATTAAATCCGATTTTCAGCACCCCCTTTATCAAAGTCAGAAAATAGGGGTTGTTTCCCTTTAAGCCACCACTTCGGGGGTGACTTTGATCATGGTAAAATTTTCCTTTCCAACCGGGTTCCAACTCAAAACATCAGTTTTTCAAACCAAATCCGACTTCTAGCACCCCCTTTATCAAAGTTAAAAAATAGGCACTTAGAGTGTGACTTTGATGATTGTAAAATCTTCCTTTCCAACCGCGTTCCAACTCAAGACATCAGTTTTTGAAATTAAATCCGATTTTCAGCACCCCCTTTATCAAAGTCAAAACATAGGGTTGTTTCCCTTTAAGCCACCACTTAGAGGGTGACTTTGATCATGGTAAAGTCTTCCTTTCCAACCGCGTTCCAACTCAAGACATCAGTTTTTGAAATTAAATCCGACTTCCAGCACCCCCTTTATCAAAGTCAGAAAATAAGGTTGTTTCCCTTTAAGCCACCACTTACGGGGTGACTTTGATCATGGTAAAATTTTCCTTTCCAACCGCGTTCCAACTCAAGACATCAGTTTTTGAAACCAAGTCCGACTTCCAGCACCCTTTTTATCAGAGTGAGAGAATAGGTTTGTTTCCCTTTAAGCCACCACTTACCGGGTGACTTTGATCATGGTAAAATGTTCCTTTCCAACCGGGTTCCAACTCAAGACATCAGTTTTTGAAATTTAAATCCGATTTTCAGCACCCCCTTTATCAAAGTCAGAAAATAGGGGTGTTTCCCTTTAAGCCACCACTTAGGGGGTGACTTTGATCATGGTAAAATATTTCTTTCCCACCGGGTTCCAACTCAAGACATCAGTTTGTGAAATTTAGATCCGATTTTCAGCACCCCCTTTGTCAAAGTCAGAAAATAAGGTTGTTTCCCTTTAAGCCACCACTTAGAGGGTGACTTTGATCATGGTAAAATCTTTCTTTCCAACCGCGTTCCAACTCAAGACATCAGTTTTTGAAATTAAATCCGATCTTCAACACCCCCTTTATCAAAGTCAGAAAATAAGGGTGTTTCCCTTTAAGCCACCACTTAGAGGGTGACTTTGATCATGGTAAAATCTTTCTTTCCAACCGCGTTCCACCTCAAGACATCAGTTTTTGAATTTAAATCCGATTTTCAGCACCCCCTTTATCAAAGTCAGAAAATAGGGTTGTTTCCCAGGTCAGCCTTTGGTGCGATGTTCTTAGGGTCCAAGGCTCAGGTTTTGTGCCGCCGCGGCCGCTTTCGCTCGCAGGCCCGCGACCTGGAGCCGGGCGCGGTGCGCCTGCGATGCGAAGTGCTGGCCTGCCAGCCGAGCCTTGAGGCGCAAAGCGAAGGGATGCGAACGCCGCGCCGCTTCAGTTCGGGTTTGGACCAATTTGGCGGAAAAAGCGTTCTGAGGACTGAACAACTTTTGGGGTTTGGACCATTTTGATGGAAAAACGACAAATTGGAGCTGTTTTTGCGCCCTCCATCGAGGGAGGGCGGCCATCTTTCTTATGCCCTGGGTTCAGTCGTAGCTCTTGTGTTTGAGTGGCAGCTTTTGAGTGTGTGCTGTCGGTCTTGGGCCCTATTTCCACGGTTTCCGTTGAAGGAGGGCCTGTCAATTCAGGGTGTCAGATGCAACTCCAGGATTCCCTACCTTGTTGAGCTGGTGTGTGTTTGTGTGTGTGCTTGTTAATCTTCCTTGGGGTTTCCTGCAAATGAACCAAAAAAAGCGGCGCGCGCTGCCAAAATTCGTGGTATCTCCATTTCGGGGCTTTAGGGGAAGGACTTTCTAGGGGAAGCTCCCCCATTCTTTCGAGGGATCCTCATTGAACCATCAAAAGTTCAAAAGTTCACAGGAAACAGCTGAAACAGCTGGATGGTTGCAAAGAACAGGGAGTCAACCGTCAGAGACTTCCCTCGAGGCCTTCGCAGCGCGGGAGCACATCCTGCACTTCGCCTTCCCGGCCTTTCGCAGCTTCGACCCCCGCACGCCTCTGCCGGTGGAGTACTGCATCGAGGCACGCCTCGAAATGGGCGCAGCTTGTGCTCGACCAGCCGCGAATGGCGAAGACTCTGGGTTTTTCCTGGCCACCATTCGAGTGTGGCTCGGTGTTCCCTTTGGGTTCCTTGAAAGCAACCAAAAATCAGGGGATCCCAATGAAACAGGTTCAAAACACCAAGGTTCTGATGGCTTGCAGCAAAGGCCAACCGTGTCTTTCTGGCATCTGAAAGGAACCCAACTTTGTTACCAGTAGGATCCATTGAACGGGTCATCAATTGAGGCCGGGCACGGGGAGATTTAACAATCCACACACATGACCGTATGAAGTTTTAAACAGGGGGCCCCAAGAGACGTGTCACGTGACATCATGGCATTTGAACAGTTTACGTTAGCTCTTCTCTCTCTATTCGTTCCAGCGGTCCTTCATTTCAGAAAGCGCACAACGCCCAAAGCATTCTGGTGGGGGCCCATCATTTCTAGGAGTAACTTCCTTCCACTCTTTACAGGGATTCATTTTCCAGAAAGCCAACAACAGATTCGGAAAATCGACCCAAGCTGGATTTCGGCTCCCTTTAAGACTCCATGGTCGTCTTTGCGTATCACCTGGGCTTGTTTCCTTTAGGGTATGTCTGTTTTTTGGCTTCCCAGGCCTGGCAGCGCCCGGACCTGCTGGGCGCCTCCTCCCCCGAGCAGCTGCTGGCGCTGTCGCGGTGCCAGGAGAGGCCAGGCATCGGGGCTCGAGCGATCGTTGAGGCACGGGAGCCCGCTTTTGGGGGGGAAGTTCACGTCCGGTGTTTGGAAAGAACGATCGTTGAAAAGAATGGGGAATCAACCCCTAGAACCTTCAAAGAGGCGCCAGGTTGTTCTGGGATCTCCCAGCCAACCCGGTTTTTTGGGTGTGAATATGAGCTGACAATATCAATTACTGGTAGCCTAAGGTGAACAAACCAAACTCGCGAATTTCGGAGGGCCCCAATCCCGATTTTGAGGCAGTGTGGCATCGGGGGGCCCCAAGGTTCGATGTTGACACAACCAAAGGTGTTTGCTGGCTGGTTCTCAGGGAATCAAGAAGGGTTTCGGGAAATTGACGCGGCTTGCTAATTATTTGGTTGGATAGTTAATGAACATGGAGATCTTGGGATCGCCCATGAACAGTTATGAAATTGTGTGTGGCTTGAATGCGATCAATCTTTAACTTGTTTCCGAAGCATATGATTGGGTTCCCAGCAACCAACAACAAGCTGCGTACCACAGAACATTGTCGCAGGCGTTGCCTGCAAATGCGATGAATCAATACTATACTATGGATGGGAAAAAAAAACATCCACTTAGCATATATTTTGCTGTTGCATATTCTGTCAAGTGATCTTTGGACATGGGATGTCTTCGCAGCTTGGCTTGCCACAGGGGGCTCCGGGGGATCCCGAGATGCTGTTTCTTTGGGTGCTCTACGGCCCACAATTGTCCGTTTCTCGAAGGACACCAAACGGACGTGCCTTTTTTGAGGGTACCTGGTTTTTGGTGGTGTTCAAGGCAAACCAGAAGGACAACCACCATGTCGGGGTCCCCTTAAAAAAGACAGACCGAAAAGGAGCTTGCCAATTGTTGTTGCTTGAGAGGGACATGGGTTTTTTCCATGTCCTTATGGAGGTTATCTCCTTGTTCCAGGGAGAAAGCTAACTATGATTCTTATTTGTTTGTGGTCGACAACTTTGCCTACTCAATCGATGGGAGCAGTCTGTGCTCCATGTTTCGTGTGGAGTCAACGCCATTGCTTGTAATCTAGCTGATCCTTGCTCCGTTGGTGTTTCAATCAGTTTCCTTTCTCCCAACAACACACCCAACAGGGCTGCTGTCTATGCGTGACAAAGGCTTTTAGGGATGCCTTGTTTCCGGTTCGGCAATTATCGTATTTTGCCCAGACATCAATAGCTGCTAGCCACATTGTTTGAAGATGCATGAGCAGCCATGCTTCGTGGTTCTGCCTGGCCAGGTTGGGCTGGTGTAATTTCGATCATTGGGTTTGGGGATGTTCCGGCGTGTTGCTCAAAGATATTCTAACAAGGGTATTGGTCAAACTTATACAACAGGGGACCGCTGGTTTTAGTCCTTGTGCCCATTTACGAGGGTTCCATGTTGGGTACCTGATGTTTGACCAGCAGCCATTTTTTCGCCTTGGACGAGTCCCTTTTTCAGCTGGTGATCAGCACATGTGCATTGCAGGCGTGCTGTCATTCCTGGGGCTGGCCCCGAATGGGAAGATGCCAGCCCCGTTTTCGTGACCACTGTGCGGAGCGACAAGGCCTGACCCTCGACCCTCGCTGCAATGCTGGATGCTAAAGAAAGTACAATTGTCAATCTTTTTGAAAGGAAACCAGAAGTGATAGAAGGGGATGGACAAATATAGGTCAAGAGTGGGAAGCCATGTGGCCGGCATGTAGAACGGGCTTGTGGGGTATTAGAGTGAACTACCTCTTGATCGTGGGATGATGATATGTGTTGTAGCCGATTCGATTCACCGGCTTTGCCAATTGCAGAGGTGCATGGCAAGATGGTGGAGTGCGAGGTGGACATGCGGAAAACGGCTCTCGTGTCCCGGTCCCAGGTTTACTTCAGCGACTTGGTTGCATCCAACTCCCCGGCTCAGAAGTCGCCGCCAAAACCCCAGAGAAGCATGGCCAAGATCTGTGGTCCCTTGGATTGTGCCGCGGGGGTGTGAGAAGCTGCAGTCAGCTGTTTCTTGAGATCGTGTCAAACACCAAGCAGCCTTCCACTGCAGCTATGAAACGCTGCCCTTGGTTTCCGTCAAGGCTTGCTCCAAGTTCCAGCCTCAGCTTAAAGCCGTTCACCTGACTGCGCGGCTTTGAGTTAGCTGGGTGTTTCTCAAAAACTACCGCGCCACACAACCCCCCCCCATCCGTCCCGTCCGTCCCGTTCCCCCCCCTCCGTTTGTTTGCGGAGAAGCCCGGATACAGCTCACGCGCACGCAGGCGTGAAAGCGCGGTATCTGAGCTTGCCGCTGGAGGCCAGCTTCAGCCCCACGGCTAGAGATGTTCGATGGGAAAGACCTGAAGACCTCACTGTTGGAGGGGAACAGGTTGAACACCCCCACGTGAATAAACAGGGGCTTATTAATCCGGGGTCAACATTGTGGACAAATCCGATTTTCTAGGTGCCCCAGCTAGGTGCCCTTCTCTCCCCTTTTTGGTTGGGAGGGTTTTTTCTACTCAAATAGACAGACAAAAGTCGGTACCAACTTATTCTAACCTCTCTACTGGACCGCCAAGGGCTCTTGGAAGCCTAAGGGCCCCGAATTGGGAAAACCTGTCTGGGCCCTAGCTCGGGTTTGTTAGAACCCTGCAACCTCTTGGGCCCTTGGGGCTGGGAACCTGGGGGGTAGGTTAGGCAGGGTTAGAACCCCGGCTCTTAGGAAGGGCTGCGAACCTTTCTGAGGCAAGTAGGACGATATAGCGACCTCTTGAGGCAGAACTGCCAATGTTACCGATGACATGCGTTGTTGAGTCGAGAAACGGTCGACGCTCAACGTTCATGATGTATCGTTGTAGAAGGGACGACACTTGGGGTATACCAAATAGAAAATGGGTAAAGGGGAGGTTACCCAACAAATTCACATCTGGGAAGCACAAGGGGCTCGTTGGCCCACAACACCCTGCCTTGGGGGAAATCTAGCCAGGGCGTCATGGCTTTGGCACGGCCACTACGTTTCTGTGTCAAAATCGAAGGGGTCGGGACTTTTGGTTTCAACCTAAAAATCAACCACAGCGGTGGCTGTCCGTTTGGTTTTCCATTGAACTCAGTTCCTGGACTTATACCTTCCGGGGAATCCATGTGAGTGGCAAGCAAAAGTTCAAATTCGTTTGGTCAGGAAGTCATCCGTCATGGGGGGGGATTCTTCAAAGGACTGTTGCAATTTATGTTTTTAGCACATTTCTACATCTGATCTCCACCAAAGGACGCCTGTGTTTTCCTTTGTGGGTACCCTTGGGGTTGTTTTCAAAGGGGAACTAAGAAGGATTTGCGGGGCAGTGCATATCTTTTTTTTGCAGGGTTGGGGTAGGCCCTTGTTTAAACATGTTGAAACATCCATAGTTTAAAGGACCTTCGTTTTGTGTCCCTAAGGGGGCCGAATCGGGGCTGATTGTTGCATATTGCAACCAAGGGAGCCTGAGAATGCAGGGATGTTTCACAAGCAATTACAGGGACTCGGGCCAAGGGGACCGTCTTTCCGAGACAAACACCGCAAGGACGGACAAGCACCTGTGTGCACAGCGTCACCGAAAGGATCAAGCCGGCTGTGAACCTTGCTCAAACATGCTTAACATCGTAGTGTTCTAACGACCTCCTTTGGGTTTCCCCTTCAAGGGGGGGGCCCAAAAACAGGCCTGTTTGTCTAAACCCAGTACAGTTCCATGAAAATAGATTGGCACCAAGCTCCGCATTTATGAATGTTTTTCATCCCCTTGATTTACAGACAAGGAAATAGTGCTAATCACCAAGGCGGACAGAACGGCTAGGTCTCCATTCCATGGTTTCCTTTTGCTTTGCCTTCAATCAAGTACCAACCAAAACCCAAAACAGGCTTTTCCACCGTTCAGAGAAGCTCATGTTCTTCCACGGTTCACCTTTGATTTCCAGTTTGGGACGATGAAACTGTTTTGCAGTGCCGTTTGTCTAAGAACCCAGCTACAGATAATGGACATCATTCTTTTGGTGGGTATGTGGCCAGATTCCTGTCAAACACCAGCTGGTTTGCTGGAGTTCATGACCAAATATAGTTGCAACGTACCCCATACCCCATTCTAATTCATTTAGCCCCCTATTTAACAAAAAAGAAAGAAAAAGCAAATCTCACACACACACACACACAACGAGGCCCGCGGCTGTGCTGGTCGGCCCCAGTGGCACTGCCGGAGTTGGTGCCCTCGCTGCCGTCCCCCGCCCCGCTGATGGTGGACCACTTCGCGCCACCCAGCGCCGCCATCTCCACGCTGGCAGGAGGGGGGGTGGGGTGGGGTGGGGGGCTGTGGGAGTTAGAGGTGGCCTTTCCCGTCCGCATTTTGCCATCCGGTCCTAGGGTCCCCCCTACACTTTTGAGCACTTTTTAAACACACATACCAAATCACCCCATTTTCAACCTCCAAATTGAAACACCTACTAAGTTAATCATGAGAAAAATCAGTATTATCATCATCAACTTCATTTTTAGCCTAATTTGTCCAACCTTTAACCCAACCCTTACACTCATTCAAAACAACAATCCTAACTACACACTAATTCACACCTCCTCAAAAATGTCATTCAAAAAAATCAATCCACATACCAACAAATGCTCACCCTCAACTTCCAACCATCAAAATATCATTGTTCCACTTCATGATCCAAACTGCAACCCTTTCCCATTTCCAACAAATACGAACAGTCTAAAAAAGAACCCTATGTTCGCCCCGAAAAATGGTTAACCAATGGAAAAGGGAGAATTAAAACCGTTAACCCAAATCTTGAAAACAATCCCAGTAAAATCTGGATGGCAAAATGCGGATGGGAAAGGCCTATGTAGGAAAGCACCCCCATAGCTTATACGGGAAAATTAAACTAAAATTACAACATATAAGATCTTATATGTTGTAACTATAGTATAATCAAGAACTGAAACATTCATCTCAATAATAGCTAGCCGTGCTTTCATTATCGCTAAATTCTTCATCCTCGTCATAGAAGTCTTCCGTGCTTAATATATGATAAAATCGGATATGCCATTCTGCCTCTGTTCTGAATGGCATCATTTCCAACAGTGCTCTCATTGCGTCGTAATAACCAATTCTCAAGTGTTTTCTTTTGTCATCAATACTATCAATGAACCAGAGCTGTTTAAATTTATTTTCAATATCATATATGTAGGAATAATTAGAACGCTTTCAATTCTAAATATATTTCATAATCAGATTTGGTATCATCCAATGCTTCAGTTAAAGTCATTGCCCAGAATGGGTTTCTTTTTACTCTTTCCCAAGTTGGAAAATGGTTTTTAAGAATATCATTAAACCTGTAAGGACATATAATATATCATAACAGTGATATGACATAATATTCAATCTAATTTCCAATGGTAGATTATTAATGTCGCACATACTTTACTTAATATATTAAGGTAATATTTCTTTAAGCACTTTTTCAGGGAAACTTTTAAATCAAGCGAATTATAATTACAACATATAAGATCTTACATGTTGTAAGTATAGCAAAACTATGGTATCAAAGGCTTTAATCTATGTATTTCTATGGGTTGTATTCGTTTCTTCTGTTCCTTCCTTAACTCTTTTGTTGCTTTTACTTTGTCTCTGCATTCCTTACATGTTTTGTAAAATATCTCTTCCATTTTAATTCTATCATACATTTTGTGAAAATCCTTTCTTGGCTTTGCTTCGTCGCATTTACTGCAAGGATAAACCATTGTGTATCCTGTTTCTTCTTCGTCATCTGTAGAACTCATAATATTAGTTATGCCAATATGTCTTTAAACGGATTTTCAGAGAAAAATGTTTTCAATCAAGAATAAATCCCTGTATCTTCATCATAGTCGATTTGATAAAATGTCATAGTTGAAGCCTTCGGTTCTTTAATTTCTTTGTTATTAAGTTTGTTTAAATAAATATTTCATTTATTTTTATATTCACCATTGGTTCTATCTACTTCTTTACTTTGATAACTGTTTGTTAAAGGTTTCTTCTTTTCCATTTCTTGCAAGATTTCTAAAATATTCTTATTCTGTTCTAAAACCTTGTTCAGTTTTTTAACAATCTTTTCTAATCCTTCATCCATGTAAATATATAATATATATTATAAAATACAACTTTTAAAACTAAACTTTTATTTTACAAAATCATATATCATTATAAGTCATTCAAAATTAGTTATTGTGTAACTCGTTAAATTATTATTCAATTTACCAATTAAATTACAAATAATAGTTTTTCTAAATTTTGAATATTTATGAAACTTTTCAATATTATCTGTAGTATAAATTATTAAACATTTAATACATTCAAACACATTAACAACATTAATGTTACTATTTTTGTAAATATTATTCATTTTTCTCAATGTAATTTCATAAAACTGAATAGCATTTTTATTATCATAATTAGCAATAAATCTTAACGTATATGAATATATTCTTTTACAATAAAATTTTAAATCTGATTGTTCAAATAAATCAGCATAATTAATAGAATTATAAAGCATGTTAAAATCAATTTTACTATTTCTAAAGTCATTAACAAAATTAATTAATATATCATTTTCGTTATATTCTTCAATAAAATTATTTAATTTCAATTCTTTTACATCAATGAGTTTAATAATATTATTTATAACATCTTGCATTATAAATAATAATAGAAATTATTTTAACTATTATTTTTTCATCATTTCGCGTATAGTTTCCTGTGTTTCCTTATCGCCATTCTCGGATGGAGTAACTCCCCTCCCAAAGCGAATAGCAATATTATGAACATCTGTTTCCAGATTTATACTGTCTTTAGTTTTATCAATATTCATTTTCTTATCATTCTTACTTAATTTGAAACTTGTCGGAATACACGAACATTTACAGTTTCCTTTCTTTTGTATTTCTAATTCATTTTTCATTTCTAATATTCTTTTACACATTGGACAAGCAAACTCAATAACTGATGTCTCTTTAACAATTTCTTCTTTTTCTTCATCAGTTGAAGAAACAACTGGTTCAGTCTTATTCTTTTTCTTTTTTCCCATTTATATTAGTATTTACATTTTTATTTTTGATATATTGTATCACAAACTTAATTAATTCTAAAATAAAATAACATATTTTTTTACATCTATTATCAGTTATAACAACTTGTTCTATATTATCTACTTCATCTATTATATCAATATAATCTGAATAGCTTCTATTCATATAAAATAATAAATATAAAATATTTTCTAGATAACTTTAATATTATTTTATTATGTCAGATGTTCCAATAATAAAACCAATAAACATAACTGAATATGAATTCAAACAATCTAAATATGAGCACGTGCCAAAATTACCATTTAGAAGTATTATAGTTGCGAGTTCGACAGGTGGCAAAACAGTCTTGGTTCAGAACCTTATCTTAAATGTTTATAGAAATTCATTTGCAAGAATATTCATATTTTCCCCCAGCGTTCATAATGACCCAACCTTTACAGAAGTTAAAAAAATATATCAGGGATGAATTGCACGTGGATGATGAAAAAGAACAAATTTATTTTGATAATTATAATCCAAGTGATTTAGAAAATGTAATTGAAAGACAGAAGAAAATAATTAATTATATGAAATCTAAAAAGATAAAGAAACTACATTCAATATTAATCGTTATAGACGATCATGCCGACGATCCTAAATTTGTTAGATATAGTAAATTATTAC